GTGAACTACCAGCACCCTGCTGCATTGCCCCCAATGTGAATATTTCTGCAGACATTCACTCAGTAGTAACTCATACTGTTATACTCTTTAAGTGTAGAAATTAATGATAAAGTCATGGTCTTCACTCCAACAATTTTAAGAGAAAAGGATAGTTTCATTAGAAATCTACAAAATTTGAGCAGGGCACCAGTAGCTCTTGTTTGTAATCCTAGCTAGTCAGGAAGTAGAGATCTGAGAATCTCGGTTCAAAGCCAGCATTGGGCAGGAAAGTACAGGATATTCTTATCTCCAATTAACCACCTGAAAACCGGAAGTGGCACTGTTGCTCAAAGTGGTAGAGCACTAACATTGAACACAAAAGCTCAGAGACAGTGCCCAGGCCCTGAGTTCTGGAAACAGATTATCTGTTCACCTTTCAGCCATGTGACTGTACATGCTTGTCAACCTGGAGGCATCATGATGTCTTTTATAAAGAAATGCCAACAATAAGAAGATCAAGACTGAAATTAGGACAGCAACTCCATTTGTAATAGCCTCAATAAAAACCCCCAAACCTAGGAATTAACTTAACCAAAGATGTGAAGGACCACTATGATAAAACTTTAAAAATCTGAAAGAAGAAAGTAAAGCATTTAAGGAAATGGAAAAGTCACTCATGCTCCAAGATGGGAAGAATTAACATGGTAAGAATGGCAATATTGCCCAAAGCTATCTATAAATTCAATGCAATACCCATAAAAATCTCAACAACACTCTTCATTGATATAGAAAATCAATAAAAAAAAAGATCTGAATAGCAAAAACAATCCTTAGCAGGAAAAACAGTACTGGATGAATATCAATACTAAACTTCAAACTCTATTACAAAATGGTAGTAATAAAAACAGCTTGGTACTGGCACAAGAATAAGCCTGAGAACCAATGGAATGGAATAGAAGACCCAGAAATGAACCTACAAACCTGTAGTCACTTAATATTTGATAAGGAAGCCAAAAACACAGAATGGAAGAAAGACAGCCTCTTCAATAAATGTTGTTGACAGAATCTGCTATATATGCACAGAAAACTAAAGCTAGATCATTATATATCACCCTGTACCAGAATCAATTCCAAAGGAATGAAAGACTTCAATGTAAGGCCAGATACTATGAAAATATTACAGGAAAGGAAAGGAGAAACACTATGGCTCCTAGGCAGGGTCCAAACTTCCTAAGTGAAGATACAGAACTATAACAAATCAAAGAAAGACTGGTTAAATGTAATTGCAACAAACTGAAGACTTTCTACATGGCAAAGGACATAGCTGGCAAGATAAATAAAAAGCCCACAGTATGGGAGGAGATCTTTACTAGCTATGCATCAGACACGGACTTCATATCTATAATATACTTAGAGCTCAAACAAATTAAATCCCAAAACAAATACTCAAAGAAACAACAGCCCATTTAATAAACTGGCTAAAGACTTAAAGAGAGACTTCTCTGAAGAATTAAGAATGCCCAATAGTTTTACCTTGCATATATAACTCTTAAACCCTCTGTACATTACCTTGACAATAAAATTAAATTATAAAAAAAGAAAAATAACGAATTCCCAATAGACACATGAAGAAATGCTCAACATCTCAAGCCATAAAAGAAACTCAAATCAAAACAACATTGAGATTCTACCTCACCCCAGTTAGAATGGCTGCTATCAAGACAAACTAACAAGCCAGGCACTGATGGCTCAGGCCTGTAATCCTAGCTACTCAGGAGGCTGAGATTTGAGGATTATGGTACAAAGCCAGCCTGGGCAAGAAAGTCCATGAGAATCATATCTCTAATAAACCACTAGAAAACCAGAAGTGGCACTGTGGCTCAAGCGGTAGAGTACTCACCTTGAGCTGAAGAGCACAGAGATAGCACCCAAACCCAGAGTTTAAGCCCCATGACCAACAACAAGAACAACAACAAAAAGACAAACTAACAATAACAGATGCTGGCAGGGATATGGCCAAAAGGGAACATTACAACACTGTTGGGAGTAGAAACTTGTTCAATCTCTCTGGAGAGCAATATAGAGAGGTTCCTCAAAATACTAAACATAGAGCTTTCCTATGACCCAGCAATTCCAATCATAGGCATTTATCCAATTGACCACAAACCAGGCCACACTAATGCCACCAGTACAACCATGTTCATTGCAGTATTGTTCACCAGAGCCAAGATATAGAATAAACCCAGATGCCCCTCAGTGGATCAATGAATTAAGAAAATGTGGTATATATGCATAATGGAATTCAATGCTTCCATGAGAAAGAACAATATTGATTGATTCATAAAGAAATGGAAAGACTTGGAGAAAATTATACTAAGTGAAGTAAGCTAGACCCAAAGAAATACAGGATGGATGCATGGTTTCTCTCATCTGTAATAATTACAGATAACTACATGAGATGAACAAAATAAACAAAGTATGGTTTCTTGTAACACTTTAGATTGATGATGATAATGAGCCGTAAACCTCAGAGTGCCTTCCTTGGGCCTGAGGCAAGGGGTGTGGTTAGTCATGGTCAACATTATAGGCAGAGTGGGAGAAAATGAGGGAAGGGTTAAACTTGTTCAAAGCAAAATGACATTACCTGTCTTTTGCAACTGTAACCCCTCTGTAATCCCTCTGTATATCACCTTTACAATAAATTTCAAATAAAAAAATCATTTAGTCAGAAGTACCAGAAGTGAAGTGTAAAGTGTAGGTTGATAGCACTGGGAGAGCATGAGCTGGGAGCATTAGGGAAGATTTTAAGGTGGAGGTGCCACAGAAACTGTGCATTGAAAAAGGTGGACATAGTACAGGCTGAGTAGAAACAAGTACAGCTTAGAAGTAGAGAAGTGGGAAATCATAAAGTGCCTTGGTCAGCAATCTTTTGGGTTAGGGAAGTTGAGACAACTGGAAGATAAGGCCATATCCAGTTGATGAACCAGATTGAGAAGGTTAGGTTACTTAGGAAGAAAAAATGAGTCAAAGCTATTTAAGTTTATTTTGTAGTATCTGCTTAAGATTGAACCTAGGTCCTCACACATCTTAGGAGAGTGCTCTTCCACTGAGCTACTTACTCCAACATGTGCATAAAGCATTAAAGCTCTAATTTAGGAACACTGCTTCAACACACCCTTCTCAGGTCTAAGGAGCCCAAAGGAGTGGCAGTACAATGTATGAAAAATAGGAAGTCAGGAGTTGGTTTGTGACCCTGTCCATCCGATTCAGACTTGTATGTTTTGTTTGAAGAACTAAGGACCTGCAAGGTAGAACTTTGGGTGCAGGGGAAGAACAAACTGCTTATCAGTTTGCCAGCCATGTGTGTAAGTCAGAAGTGAAGTGATGTTGATGCTGACATTGTAAAGAGAAGGAGTGTGTGAGGGATAGGGTCAAATGTCTCAGGGGTGTAACATTGAGCCAGTTCATGGGAAGGAGAAAGATAATTAAGAAGAGAGAAGGATCAAGAAGTAAATAGTGGCAAAGCAGAGATGAGAGCAATGTTTGGAGGTAAAAGGACAGAGAACTTCAGAAAGTAACAAGTCATGTAATTGTCAGATCCTTCTATGCTTATAGGCTGTTGATATTGTCAGTACTACCCACAACAGATGTGGTTCAGTGTTCATGCACTCTTGGTGCTCAGTAGATGTTGAATGGAGATCTATATTGTATGAAGTCTAAGTGTGTGAACACTGAAATGTTAAGTAAAAATCCTACTTACTTATATCAGAAGACCTCCCCCCCAATTATTACTCCTATGTTTCCAGACTTTCTGTTTTAAGGAAAACAATAATGGACAAAGATCTTTCTATTGAACAATGAGGTACATATGATGTTGCCTTTAAGGCGTGTCTTCCCTCATATCATGAATATTCAAATGTCTAGTTTTGTAATATTCGAACATTGTCACTCAGCACAAAGCACTGGGTTTGCCCTGAGTATGTGTTTGAGAATATGTGTGGTAGCAGGAAGGCAGAGGCAACAAAAATAGACCAGGTCAGTCCAGTGTGTGACAGGTGTATATAATGAGATGATTAGCAGCTGTTGGACATATTAACATCTGGTAATTGTTTATTTCAGAAATAGAAGCAAATAGAGTAAAAGCCACAAAGTAATATCTTTTTATATTAAAAGCACTCACATTGATACTATTTGCATATGACACAAGGACACAGTCATAGCCAAAAACATAATCATGGAGTAGGTATCTCCTGGGGTATAAAGGAGTAAACATGAGACTTAGGACAAAGGAGATGACTAACACAAGAGAAAGACTTTGTATAGATAAATGAAGGGATATGTAATTAATTCATACTTTACACATCAACAGAAAATGTATAGATGTGATGGAGAGAATCTTACAAATACCAAAATAAAAACTAAGTGCAGCAAAAGGCACCATACATTTATTACATTTATTATGATCACTAGCAAACAAAAAGTGCAGAGGAAAGGCAGGCTATTTATTATGACATTCATGAATACCATGGGACTCCAACTGTATGGTTCAAAGTGATATGACATGTGCTGGGAACAACAAGAAGAATGGATCTGTGTATCACAATAAGAACAGATGAGTACACAAGTTGCCTTCAAATTCTTCTAAAACAGAAAAGATTTCCATATAGTAGAACTGAATCTAACATTTGGACTATTATCTAGGGCAGCTGATGTTATATAATTATTATCAAGCAGGAATTCAGTGTTGACATTTGTGAGTGCTAATTTGTTTTCTATCTATTCAAATAATGAGATAATTTTCCATTATGATCTGATTTGAAATATCAGCAAGGATATCCCAAATACATAGTGATTGGCAGAATATGTGAATGAAGACACAGCTGGCTCTAAAACAGAACAGGACTTCTGGTTTCCTATATAATAACATCAACCAGATTTCTGCCTCTTCCTTGCTCTTTCTTTATGGAAATGAGATACAACGGTTGGCCCTCTAGGAGCCCCAATGAAGATCATCAGGGTGACTAGTGCTTAGGAGAGTGTGTTTTTGTCTTCACTGCTCTCAACACAAAATTCCACTTGCTATTCATTTGTTCCAGGCGCTCCTTTTTGAAACTGTCTTGAAAAGAACAGTGATTATCTTCATCCTCTGTTTCAGAGATTATCTCCATCTTTTGAATGATGAGTTTGATGAGCTCATGCTGCTTTTCCAAGAGAGAACTGAGGTCCTTCAGTCTGAAAGAACATACATAATTTGTGAATGAATTTCCAACTCTTTTTTTTTTTTGTTCTGCTAAGGTAGGAAGGTATAGATACTACAAGTGGTCCATGTAGTTAACTGTGCCCAGATCATTCCCTCACACTAGTCATAAAGCTTTAAAGGGAGATAAGTTTAAATGATTTTTCCCAAAGTTGACACAATTTGTGGTCACATTTTGTTGTTGTTATTGTTATTGGTCCTAGTTACAGATAAGAAACTGTTGGATAAAAAAGTTAAATGCCTTTTACAGGGTCACTAAATAGTGGGAAAAGGTTTAAATTTGGGTAAACAAAATCAGAAGCCCTAATGGTTTACTATGCCTAGTTACTCAAGAGACCCTCATTCAGGACTTTGCTATATAAAATTGCACTACTCATGAAGAATATGGTTTAAAATAATGCTCCCGCCTTAAGGAAATTAACAATTAGATATTTCGCTCACTTAATCATTGGAAGGCAAACTAATTGGTTAATACTGACAAGTTTTTGAGTCTAAAAATGTGTGGTGATAACACATAACCTAGCTATACTAGTTGATAAAGCTCAATTTAATGTAGGAGATAGAGGCCAATAGATAATATAATGGTGTATCATGCATTGTTATTTAAGAGTTTTAAATTTTGCAAATACTGATAGAAGAAAAATACATACCGGTATTTCTGTTTCAATATTTCCATTTCTAAACACGCATCTGTGTTTGGTATTTCTTGTCTTGTTTCTTGGGTACCAAAAAAATAATTAAATAGACGCTGTAGAATAAAACATAATAGTTACTCACACTGATTTCAATTCAGGGACATATTTCCTGGGTATGTGCTGAAATAGAGCTATCAAGCAAGGTTCCATAGCACAAATATTCATAAGCCACAGTAAGTATTAGTAAATGTACTTACTAATATCTTCCCATGTCTGGGTCTGTTGGGATACACAATGGTGGACTTGTGATCTACTTTCCGTAAAAACCACTCTGGCAGCTTTTTCTCTAAGCTGGTATGAAGTTCTACCTACAGGGCATTTTCGACTGATTAGTAGAGTCATTAATTTGTACACAGAAAGCTTACACTGTATAGAAACAATCATCTGTAGATAAAAATTGAAAACAGATGTGTGTCCTGATTTCTGCACAGAGCAACAGGGCAGGCCAGGCCTCTCTACCCCTGGCTTCCTCACCTGGCCCCACCTGTCATCAGGACCTCCAATGCAACCTGCAGGCAGTGGGGACGTGTAAGTGGTTACAGAGCTCATTCTAAGTCAGCAGATATTTATTGCTCAGGAACTGTGACTAACATTGGAAATATAAAGATGGAGCGTCTATTCTGGAAAGTACAGTAGTATGAAAGTATAATGATATGAATTACACCCAGGATAGGAAGGCAAGGAGGAAGAAACTAAAGAATTAGTAAAAACTAAAGGTAGTAAAAAAATCAGAATGGTACTAAGAGTGTCTTGTCAATCCATAGCTACTATATAATGACATTTGCTTTCTAACTTAAAATCATATGCTTTCAATATCTGAGTATTTAAGTGACTTACAGTAATAAATGATCAGATGTAGCAACTTCCCATATGACAGGGCTTAAATTATAACACCCACTGTCCCTACCCCAATAAGAAGTAAAATATTATATCTGGCTTTCCTACTTTTTGTTTTTTTTTATTGTTGTTGGTAGTGGGGTTCGAACTCAGGGCCTGGGCACTGTCCCTGAGCTTTTGCTCAAGGCTAGTGCTCTGCCACTTTGAACCACATCTCTACTTCTGGTTTGTATGTAGTATAAAATTAGAGATAAGAGTCTCACAGACTCCTACCCACACTGGCTTTGAACTGCGATCTACAGAACTCAGCCTCCTGAGAGCTAAGATTACAGGTGTGAGCCACTGGTGCCCCACTTCTCTCCTACTTTTTTGCCACTACCAGGGCTTGAACTCAGGGTCTCTCACTTGGCCTGCTTGCTTACAGCCGGTGCTCTACCACATAATCTTAACCTCTGGTTTTGTTTTTTCCCAGGATAATTGGAGATGGAGTCTCTAGCACTGGGCTTGGTACCAACCATAATCCTCAAAACTCATCTCCCTGAATACCTGGTATTATAGGCTTGAGCCATCAGAGCACAGATTCTCTATTATTTTTATAATGCTGCTACCCTTATTGGACTGTATATTAGTTTCAGTTTTAAAAACTATTTTCTAATTGTTTTATACCAATTAGATATTTCCTCTAATTTTCCATAGTATTTTTCTGAACTCATTTTTCCATTTGATCCTTAAAGTAATATTCCCTCTCCCTTTCCCTTGCTACACGTGTATGTAGGGGACACATTTTATTTGTTTTGTTTTGTTTGCTTTTTAGTTTTTGCAGTAATACAGTTTGAACTCAGCTCTTCCTGTTTGTGCTCTTGCTTAGGCAAACTTTCTACCACTTGACTCACATCCACAGTTCTTTTGGCCTTAATTTATTTTTCAGATAGGCTTTTGCACTTTTATCCAGGTTGGTCTGGAACCACATTATCTTGCCCTTTCACCTGAGTAGCTGAGATTACAGACATCCATTACCATGCCTACCTGTCACATGTTATTATTTACTTAAAGTCTTGAAAATGATTTATTTAAGCCCAGTGTTAGCCATCAGATACAAGACACCATGTGAGTTACTCTTGTTCATCATCTGTCTATGAGCTGTCAAATGTGGTTTTGAGAGTTTGGCATTCCAAGCCCTATGTCCAAGATGCATCCAGCTCCTCAAGAACTAAGGTGATATGTTCACCTGCCCACACAGGTAAGATTTCCACACTGAAGGGTTAAGTGTGATCTATCAATTTTTTTCTTAATTAGCCATGGGCTTAAAAATATTTATGAGTGAGGAGGCTGGGAAGGTGGCTCAGTGGTAGAGCGCTTGCCTTGCATGCCTGAGGCCCTGAGTTCGATTCCTCAGCACCACATAAGCAAATAAAGAAAAAAGCCGGAAGTGGCACTGTGGCTCAAGTGATAGAGCAGTAGCCTTGAGCTGAAGAGCTGAGGGACAGCGCCCAGGCCCAGGGTTCAGGCCCCATGACCGGACCAAAAAAAAAAAAATTTATGAGTGACTACATCTGCCAGCGTTCATCCGGATAATGAACATATTAGTGTTAAAAAGCAACCAATGGCAAACCTCTCAAGTTATGACATCTGTCCATGAGTCATCACCAGTTCCTATAATGGGCACTGTCTCAGAAACCTAACTGTCTCTCCTTTTGTTTGAGATGAATTTGAGAGAGGACAAAATGGCTCTGTATGAAATGCTCTGCTGACTGACTTCTGATTCTGCTTCTATTATAGGCTCATAGAACTTTCAAACTCTATGTACAGACTCTGTCCCTGTTCTTGATTCAAAACAGGATCAAGTGGCATGGGTCCCCAGGCTCTATGCTGCTGGCTTTCAGGGAACACAGTGCAGTAGTTATTTTTGACATAGGGTCTTGTTTCTTTCCCAGGAACATGCCTGTACCACAATCCACCTATTTTGGGTTTCATGTTGCAGCTGGGAATATAGTACCCAGCTTCTTCCATTCAGATAAGAGTCTCACTGACTTTCCTGCCAGGGCCTAACTTAGAACTGTGATCTTCCCTATTTTAGTCTCCTACAAAACTAGGAAGACAGGTTTGTACCACTGTGTCCAGCTATGGGTTTATAAGAGATTTATTATATTTTCTATCTGAATTGGCCTCAAAATACTATCTCCTGTTATCGGCTTCCCAAGTAGGCAGGACTACAGGCATGGGCCACAATCACCTGGGTTATCCAATATTCTTAAAGCATCAGATACCTCCATTCAAATTTGAAATTTAAAGACAATGCAAGAACATAGAAATGACTACAGTTATGATGAATGCCTAGAAACTATCTCACAAGATTCAATAGTCAAAGAACTGTCATGTTATTAGAAAAATGAGAGGAATGCCTTGAATACAGTTAAAACTTCAATGTAAAATATGCTGTGAGGGTCCCCAGTAATGTCAAGAAAAATATCAGGAGCCACTTTGAACATCTGGGCTAAAGACATAATAATTCACATCATCTGGGCATAGCAGTACACACCTGGAATCCTACCACGCACAACGCTGAAGCAGGAAGATTGGAAGTTTAAGGTCAGCTTGGGATATATAGTGAGATTCTGTCTCAAAACCAGATACAAAATAATTCACACTGGTGTCCAGCAGCTAGTTACGTAGCTGGCCATAAAAAAGAGGTTCAAGCAATTTCATCATTACCCTGTAGAGAGTGTTGTTAGATACTTTGCACCATTTTGGAATTTTTTTCCAGTTGTAGGGCTTGAACTCTGGGCCTGGGCACTGTCCCTCAGCTCTTCAGCTCAAGGCTAGCGTTCTACCGCTTGAGCCATAGCTCCACTTCCAGTTTTCTAGTAGTTTATCGGAGATGAGAGTCTCACAGACTTTCCTGTCCAGACTGGCTTTGAACCGTGATACTTAGATCTCAGCCTCCCAAGTAGCTAGGATTATAGGTGTGAGCCACTGGTGCCCAGCTGGATATTTGATTATAGCAAGAATACCAGCAAGCATACAACCAGACACAAGAGAGCACTTTTCACTATTGAGAAAATACCTCTGTTAAATCATTATGTTTCCAGAAAACAAGCTATTCTTATATGCAAGTAATTATGATTGTACTAATTTAAGTCAGCTTTAAGTAAATATAATGCTCACCTGCATAGCAATCCTCTTTAGTGATGCATGCTTCTGGACCTCAGCGATATCACCGACTGCCAAACCAATCTGAAGGAGGACACAAAACTTTAGCATGACTCACCTCCACATGTACCTAAGTTTTGTCTTAATCTATTCAGGCTTCTTCAATGTTAATATACTTTAAGCCAACTAATTTATAATCAACATACATTTACTCTTCACAATTTTAAGAGCTGAAAAGTCTTGCACGAAGCTATCAACATTTGGGTTTGGGCCCTTTCTTCATGATTTTCTATGCATTCTCACGTGGTAGAGGGCAGAACAGGTCTGACAAGCACCAGAAGACTTTTTCCTTTAATACAGGCACAAATCCTACTCATGATGGCTCTTCACCATGGTTTTTCTCATCGACCATACATCCCATGTTCTAATATGGTCACCTTGGTGAGTAATGTCCACATATAAATTGTGCTGTAAACCACAGCAACATCTTTCTGGCTAAAACAAGCAGGAGCCTGTGAGCTCCTAATAGGGGCTCAATAAAGCTTTGAGACTGCATCTTGTAGAGAAGCACATTGTCTTTTTAGCCATTGCTGCGTGATGGCCACATTAGTGGTCCAATAATGTTAACTGTTACCCTGAAATCTTCAGATATTCAGTTGAATCTGCAGTTTATCTTAGGATAAAAATTAGATTATTTTGGAAAGGACAGGGACACAAAGTGATATCAAAGAAGATTGGGATATATTCATGCAACACAGTTGGAAACCCCAGGAGCTCAGCACTTAGGATAGAGACAACTGACTTCACAACATAAAAGTGTTTAAAACATTAAGCCAAGGGAATAAATGAGTGTTTATCTTACATATGTTCAGCAGGATAAATTACTCTTTGTGGGTGGGACTTCAGTTGGAAACCTCTAAAAATACACAAGTAGCCAGGCATGGTGGTGCATTGATGGATCACATCTGTAATCCTAGCTACTCAGGAGGCTGAGATCTGAGGACTGATTGATCCATCGATTGGGATTTAAAGCCACTCAGGCAAGAGAGTCTGTTGACTTTTATCTCCAATTATCTATCAAAAAATCTGGAAGTAAGGGTGTGGCTCAAGTCCTAAAATGTAGTCTTAAGCAAAAAAAAAAAAACAAACAGCAACAACAACAACAACAAAAGAAACCTCAATGATAGTGCCCAGGACCTGAGTTCAAACCCCAGGACCAGAGAAAACACACACACACACAGACACACACACAGACACACACACAGGAAGAGAGAGAGAGAGAGAACTAGATAGAATCAGCTGAAGTGGAACTGTTAGCTCAGATTTACTCTACCTGAGTAAATTAGTACAATTCACTCACTCTTCCCTCTATTTAGACACATAGTCCTTGTCTTTCCTAAGATTGTCTCTTACATGCTGTACCTGAAAGCTCTAGTTGCTCTTAGGGAGCTCAAAGTTCAAGAATCTCCAAGAAAGAAATGCTTGTCTGTGCAGGCTACCACTGTATGCCCAGTACTTAAAACTGGACAGAAAACATGGTGAATGAATGAACACTGGAAAATTATATGTTAGGGATTTCAAGCTAGCACTAAGAAACATATGTGCTTAGTAAATCCATTTTATTTGGCAGGACTATAGATTTTTATTGTTTAATCTACAGTTCCAAAACTCCTATCAAAACCAGTCATCTCACAATTGCTGCTTCACACATTTATGATGCTTGCTGGACTCTGAGCTTACACAAAAGATCAATTATTAACAATTCCTTGGTATTTAAGGTTCATTGGATGCTAATCATGATTGTTTAATGTGCTTTGTTTTAGCTCATTCGATCTTCACAAAGTCCTGGGACATACACGTTATTATAATTCTTTTCTGATTTGTGTTTTCAAAAGTAGTAACACAAATGGCAGCCCCAATTCAGACTAAAATAATAAGGGTACAATGACTAATAGGCACTTAATAGGCACCTTACTTAATAAATCTTCCCATTAGGGATGGTGCTTGAGCTGAGTTCTGAACGCTCAGAAAGACTTAAAGTATGGTGGGAGGTTTTTATAGACCAAGAAAGAGCCTGCAGAATTCAAGTGGCAGGAAAGGAAAGTGACACCATCTCAGGAACAGTTGGTACGAAGTGAGTAAAATCAAGATCCTAGAGACCTTTGTGTGAAATGCTAATGGGTTTAGGATGGATTAAGAATATTGAAAGAGTTACAGAAAACCTCACAACAAATAATTTTTAATAAAAGCCCAGAATCTTCTGAGTCATCTCTACAATAAAGGAAAAGAAGGGGATTGCATAGAGAACTGATGTAGCAGACTCCCCAGACCATTGCTGCAATTTAGATGAAGTACCCTAAGGGTATGTCAGTGTGTTAGATGTAAAAGGGAAATTGTGATGGAGAGAATCTGGGAAATTAAAGAGAAGGGACCAAGAAATACCTTCCACTGATCTGAATTAGATGACCCAGGGGAAAATTTGGGGATTGAAACACAGATAGAGATGCTCAGTGGGTATTTGATATGTACATGCAAATGTGGACTACTACACAGCCCATTTGTCCTCTGAATAATTATCTCCCCAAACCTAAAACATTGGAAGAGAAAAATCTGGGCTTTGTGTCATCCATCTCTGGTTTCCCTAGTGCCATCCTTTATTTTTTCTAAGTAATAAAAATAAAACTAAGGAGTTGAAGCACAGGAGAGAACTGAAACACTCAGGAGTATGCACATGTGTTTCTGTTTTGGAAACACGGTCCACCAGCACATACTCTGATATAGAGTGATGGCCAGAGAAAGTTTGTCTTTAGCTAGAGTTGGTATCTGAATAAGAAGATGCCCTCTGAGAGAAACACAGTAACACAATGCTTTCTATTAAGATCTGCCAAATTGCCAAGCCTTCCTCCACCCCAGAGCAACCTGGGGTTCCCCTTTACTGTCTTGCTCCTCCTGGCACTCATTCCACTTGCTCCACATGTGTCTGTGTGCATATATCTAACTTCCTGAGGAGCTTTTGAGCATGTACAGATGAGGCTTTAGTATTTAGTTTTGTTCATTGCTGTTTCCCAGAAGCTACAATTGTGCCTAGCATTTAGTAGATTCTTGGAAATATTTGTCCAGTGAATGTATATTTGTATTCTTTAAACACCCCAGCCTCTGGATGTGTTTGGTATACCCCATACACTAGATATATGTTACATGAGTGGATTTATTGTAACTGTTTCTCCATTGTTATGGCTTGGGTATTGAGTGTCTCCCAGAGGACCATATGTAACAGCATCATCCCCAGGGTGGCAGTATAGGGATGTGCCATGGACCTTTAAGAGGTAGTAGAATCTTTTGAGAGGTCCTTGGTAATTGAAAAGGGTTGTGGGATTCCACCCACTCTCTTCCTCTCTGCTCTGGTTTGTGAGAGGATTGCTTTCATCCCACATGTGCTCCCACCATGATATACCCACCATCTGCTGCCCTCACCAAAGCAGATAGCAGATCTTTGAACTTCTGAAAGTAGCAACTCAACAGACATTTATTCTTTGTAACTTACTCACCACAGGTATTTTATCTTAATAACACACAGCTAAAACACCTATCCTCCCACAGTAGAAGGCCATTAAAAATACAAAGAATAATCATCATAATTAAATTATTCAAATGACTGATGGATTATATAAGGGCAAATTACTTACGAGTAAATTCATGAGGACAATTGGGACAAACATTGTGAAGGCAATAAGTTGTGCAAAGGACAGAACTGGATATGCTAATTCCTTTCTCAAAAATGGTTCTAGGAAGGCATCTCGATAATTAATATCACCTAGCATCATGCTGAAAGTCTGAATCAAGGACAGCAATGGCGAGCTGAAGGCATCCTGAAAAAATAAAGTAAGGTAAAAATTAAACACAAAATGAAGACAATTGAAAGGTCTTTTGTAGAGACCAATTGACAAAAAATATATCACAAACACTTTTAAAAAGTTATAAGCATATATCCCTAGAAATGTAGTCCTGAGCAATATTTCTATACTCTACCAAAGTTATCAGAAAATCTGTGCACACAGATCATCTTTTCTAACAACGGAAAAAGTTTAGTAAAGCTACTTTTTCTTCAATAGAAACCATTCCTAAACTATCAGAAAAAAAAGTAGACCTTTGAGATTTAATTACAAACATACATTTCTAACATTCACAATAATGACATCAACTGCATGTGTAAAACTGCCACACCTGTAAGTTGAGGAGAACATAAAAGCTGAGTCCAAATGCCAAAAGAAGGAAGATAAAGACTCCTGTTGATCGCAACAAGGTTTTAAAAATTACCTCCAACATAACAATAAATATTCCACAATTTTCAAACCTGTAAAAAGTAAAAAAAAAAAAAAGACATGTGAATTCAGCAATAATCAAGCCTGATTTTTTTAATCCATTCATCAAACTGATTTTTTTTCTCCTTTGGTTTGGTGTTTATCTCTCATCCTTATACCACTTGACTACTAGATGTTTCTTTTACCAAAATTGGGGAAGGAAAAAAGCCTACAGGTTTCTACTGTCAAAGAAAATACTAAATTGGTAAGAAAGGAATAAGAGAGCAACCATGGGACGCATTAAGTAGCATCTGATGAGACAAGCTCAGGTGTTCCAAGGCTCCGATTTCAGAGCACACAGGCCATGCTGGCTTCTTCCATTCTTCCATCCACCCCTCCCCAGTTCCTACATGGTCAAATGTTTAGGTGAACAATGGATGCCCCATCTGGTCACTAGCTTGTCCTAGCATACTCTTCTCTTGCCAAAAATAACTTCTTTTTTTTTTTTCCTTTAGTAGGTGTGGAGCTTGAACTCTGGGCTTGGGAGCTGTCCCTGTGCTCTTCAGATAAAGGCTAGAGCTCCACTACTTGAACCACAGAGCCATTTCTGGTTTTCTGATGCTTAGTTGGAGATGAGAGTCTCATGGACTTTCCTGCCCAGGTTGGCTTTGAACCTTGATCACTCAGATCTCAGCCTCCTGAGTAACTAGGATTACCGGCACGAGCCACCGGCGCCCAGCCAAAGATAACTTCTTAAAAGAATCAGATTTTAAAATCACCACCACCCAATTTATATATGAATCCAACATCACACTCCGCTTTAGAAGTGGATGAAAATATTCTGTATGAACTGAAAAGTGAATGCAACTGTATGCTGAGAAATAAACTGTAAAAGGAAGTTAGCTGAGTTTCAGAGATAGCAAATAACCACAGACATCAATAGTAACCAAGCAAAGGGAGCGACCGTGCCTGAGCCCAGCTTGAGTCCTCTTGGCTTGTAGGCCACTACCCATCTCACCACACTATGTCCTCTTTGGTGACCTGGGGTTGCCTCGAGTTATCACTGGGCTCATGACAGCAATGGGTAAAACCGCAGAAAAAGTGAGATTCCTAGAGTTAACAAGACTTTGCTTATGTTTCTATTACTCAGTTTCCTAGCTGAGGTCTTCTACAGGTTATTCAACTCAGAATTTTCATTTTTTCTTTTATACTCAGTGAATTGTAATAGCTACTTCTCCTTCATGTAAAGGCTGCACTAATGTTTTGTGTAATGTCAGCAACTATGAACCTTTTACTTCCATTTGAGTTAGAATCTTAGGGCTCCTTTTCCCTCTAACTTTCATATCACTTTTATCAACCATGAAGCTTGTCACCTCATTTTGAGTGTTTCAATGCAGAGTAAATGCTTATCAAATAATATCAGGTGAAGCAAGAGTAGTGACACTTTTATCATGTCACTGTCTTTTTTTTTTTTTTTTTTTTTTGGTCAGTCATGGGGCTTGAACTCTGGCTCTCTTCAGCTCAAGGCGAGCCTTCTACCTCTTGAGCCACAGCGCCAGTTCTGGTTTTCTAGTAGTTTATTGGAGATCAGAGTCTCAAGGACTTTTCTTCCCTGGGCTGGCATTGAACCATGATCCTCAGATCTCAGCCTCCTGGGTAGCTTGGATTACATGTGTGAGCCACCAGTACCAGGCATCATGTCACTGTCTTTTTTATTTTATTTTTCATTTATGTGGTACCAAGAAATTGAACCCAGGGCCTCATGCATGGTAGGCAAGCACTGTCTCTAAGCCACATTCCCAGCCTGATGTCACTGTCTTTTATGCCACTTTAAATCTAGATTTGACTGGATGAGAGGTTCTTGACCTGGATCTGAGGAGACATGGGACAATGTCTACGTATGTTTTTGTCTGTAACATCTGGGATGAGGTCTGTGTTACTTCTTCTAGTGGGTAGAAGCCAGAAATGTTGGGCATTTTATAATACACAAGACACCCCTTTCCCCAATATACACACAAAATGAATCAAAATGGACCCAAATTTCAATAATACCCAGGTTGGGAGACCCTGTCCTGCTTTTTGAAATCCATACATCTTCACTTTGACTTAGAAGGATATGAAATGATCTTCACCATTTTAAACAAGCTGACAAAAGACTGATCTAGTTAAAGATTCTTGTCAGTTCTAATAGTTTTTCCTTTGATATTAAAGTTCCTTAGAGGATACCAAAATCATTCAAGCTGGTTTTTACCTTTGAAGATACAATAAGAAGTTCATCCAGTAGAAGAATATGGCAATTGCTCCACATTGCCATTGCACGTGGCCTGGTATGTTCACGAACAAGGGCAGCACAAATATGATGCTTGTTGTGTAGATGATCCATTCCAAGGCATTGTTGTAGTCCAAAAAGTAATTCCTTTTCTGGGATTGAAATGAGTAAAGCGTTACCACACAGAGAGGTTTCTTATGAATGGTTTCATGATGGCTAGGACCAGGGAGTCCTCACCTGCCACCCTCAGTTGATTTATGAGCCTCTAGGGTATGGATGTGTACTGACCAAATCATCAGTTGACCCAGTGCAATGGAACTTCAATGCCTAAGAAAATCTTAACACATTTGTGAGATTTCCCTGTAGGGCCTATACCATTTGAAAGTAGTACAAGTTGGTTTAATGTTTGTGAGATCTCTCTGTTTATCTAAAGACACATATATGGATCATTCAGCATAGAAATGAACAAAATCTTCTTTGAATAAAATTTGGGCCTTGTGCTGTGACTAAATCAGAGAGGAAAACAAAGCAGGATTTTATTCTTAAAAATTTCATCTTTCAGATATTAGTATAGTCTCATCTCGTAGAGCACTTAAATATCACTAAGCAAATGTGGAGTGCAAATCTAAGTAATTGTATATAATCATAGATCAATTAAAACTATGATTTGAATTTTTACTTAGGAAAATAAAAAATGGTATGGGAGACTAAATAATGTGCTCTAAACCATTGAACAATGCAGTCTAATTCTCAGAATTGTGACAATATACTGAAAAAATCTTGTATATTAGTAAGTAAATGCAAAGTATTATTATCATCAAACTGCTGCCATGCACATATCCATGTGCTTATATAATGTCATAAAAATTTTTCATGGAAAATTAGATGTTGCAATTTTGGTACAACTTGCAAAAATAATCACAGAAAATGCATATGAACCTGAGATTTAAAACCTCCCTATTAAGAGAATTTTAAACAGCAAAGGCATGTGGACAATTTATTTAATTCTTGGATCTGATCTGAATTTAGTTCACCCTCTTAACATACAGACTGGGTTCCATGGCTCATGCCTGTAATCCTAGTTCTTCAGCAGGCAAAGATCAGAAGGATTATGGTTCAAGGCAAAGAGTTTGTGAGATCCCATCTCATCTGAGCTAGGCATGGTTGTGCACAACTGTCATCTGAGCCACACAGGAGGGTAAGGTCATGAAGATCACAGTTCTAAATCAGCCTGGGCAAAAAAAATTTGCAAGAGTCATAGGGGAGCTATATGTTTAGTATTTTGAGGAACTCCATACTATTTTCCAGAGTGGTTGAACAAATTTACACTCCCACCAACAATGCAGTAGGATTCCCTTTGGCCACATCCCTTCCAGCATCTGTTGTTTTTAGATGTCTTGATAATTGTGAATGGGGTGAGGGGTGAGGTGGAATCGCAATGTTGTTTTGATTTTCATTTATTTTATGGCCAGAGCATTTCTTCATGTGTCTATTGGCCATTCTTATTTCCTCTTCAGAGAAGTTTCTCTTTAAGTCTTTAACCCACTTACTAATAGGGCAGTTGTTTCTTTGAGGATTTATTTGGGGGGGATTTAATTTCTTGAGTTCTAAGTATATTTTAGATATGAGACCCTTGTCTGTTGTATGGCTAGTGAAGATCTTCTCCCAATCCACGGGCTTTCTATTGATTATGCTAGCTATGTCCTTTGCCATGCAAAAGCTCTGCAGTTTCCCATTTGTCCAATCTTTCTGTGATTTGTTGTGTTTCTGGGTCTTTATTAAGAAAGTTTCAGCCTGTGCCAAAGAGCTCTGATTTTCTCCTATTCCTTCCTGTAATGTTTTCAGGGTATATCCTTTTACTTTGAGGTCTTTGGTCCATTTGGAGTTGATTCTGGTGCAGGGGGATATAAGGATCTCACTTTAGTTTTCTACAGGTGTTTAACCAATTTTGCCAGTACTATTTATTGAAGAAGTTGTCTTTCTTCTATCCTAGGTTTTTGGCTCCCTTATTGAAGATTAGGTGGCTATAGGTCTCTGGGTTCATTTCTGGGCCTTCAGTTCTATTTCATTGGTCTTCAGGTCTGTTAAAGTCAAAGTACCAAGCTGTTTTGACTGCTATGGCTTTGTAATAGAGTTTGAAGTTTGGTCTTGATATTCTTCCAATCCTTACCTTTCTGGCAAGGATTGATTTTGCTATGCAGGGTCTTTCATCGTTCCATGTGAATTTTGGGATTGCTTCTTCTATTTTATTAAAGAATGGGGTTGGAATATTGATGGGTATTGCATTAATTTGCCATTTATCACGATGTTAATCCTCCCAATCATCCTGCTTTAATTTCCCTTTTCAGGTTTTTTAAAAAAGTTTTCCTCATAGAGGTCCTCCACTTCTTTGGTTAATTCTTAGGTATTTTATGACCCAGCAATCCCACTTTTGGCATTTACCCAAATGACCACAAACAAGGCCATACTAAAGCTACCAGTACAAATATGTTTATCACAGCACTATTCACCATAGCTAAGACATGGAACCAACCCAGATGCCCCTCAGTAGATGAATGGATCAAGAAAATGTGATACACACACACACACACACACACACACACACACACACACAAACACAAACACAAACACACACACACACACACACAAATGGAATTCTATGCTTCCATAAGAAAGAATAACACTGCCCAATTTGTAAGGAAATGGAAAGACTTGGGGAAAAAAGTCATAGTAAGTGAAGTAAAGTTAGACCTAAAAAAAGATAGGTCCCATGGTTTCCCTTATTTGCAATAATTGGTATACATCTAGGATAATCTTAGCAGATGAGCAGAATAGCTCAATAGCTATGTACATATGACCATATAAGATGATGCTAAGTGAAATGAATCCAAGATATGGACATAAGAGGTTTTTCTTTATTGTTGTTTTTAATGTACTATGTGGGGTTTTTTGTTTCTTTTGTATGTTCTTCCCCCTATGGTATATTCCCTGTTGTCACTGTATTTGATGTGGTACCCTGGTATTGTATTTACGTTTATCTGAATTAGGGAAGTGAAGGGGAACAACAGAATGGTGAGACAAAGCACATGGGGGAACCAATGTAACAGCGATATTCACAATTCAATATGTTGGAAATGATCCGTATGACTTGGTGGGGAATCGGGGGAGGTAAAGCAGGAGAAAAATGAGGGAAGGGGTAACAAGTGTGACAAGAAACATACTCACTACCTTACTCGTGTAACTGTAACTCCTCTGTACATCATCTTGACAATAAAAAAGTTTGCAAAACCCATCTCAACAGAAAAGCTGGGCTGTGATGGCATACATCTATCATACCCATAAATAATACTACTGTCTAGAACAGTCCCAGGATGGGAGGAAGGGGACAAAAATAAGCTCTATCTAAAAACATAACTGGATCAAAAAGGGCTAGTTACTTGGCTCAGCATTAAAACGTCTGCTTAGCAACATGAAGCCCTAAGTCCAAACTCTAAAAAATAAAAATAAAATAAGAGAATAAAGAAAATACTGCTATAAAGTTTCCATGCCAGGCATGGAAGCTCATAATATAATGCCAGGACTTGAAAGACCAAAGTGGGGATAAAGTTTCAGCCAGCCTAGGTTACATAATAACCCCTGTTTTATATTTTTTTTCTTAAGTTCTCAAATTGTATTATGGCTTCTATTTTTTTATTTAAAAACGTTTTCAATAAGAAAGAAATCAAAGACAGAACCTAAAGGAATCTTGAGACAGATGTGCTTATTTAAATAAATATTGACATTTAAATTATAAAACTTTCTATTGTGTCAGAAAAATATCTCAATAAGTTCTGTAAAAGAACAATCATATAGTCATTCATAATGATTGCTTGTAGCCTAACACAGCCACCTAGACCAGCAAAAGTAGAATATTCTTTTCAGAAACATGAAACAAGCATCAGTCTTACTTAGTATCATGTAATTTCTACATTTGAAAAGTTTCATCTTGTTATTTCCAGAAAAGCAATATGATTTTATTATGGCAGAATATTATTTTCAAATCATTATTTGCCAATTATTTTATGTTCTACAGATTAAAATATTTGCAACTTGAGAGAAACAAAATGCATTGCATACCTGCTGCAAAATTTGAATCACTTCTTTGCAATATCCAAATATACTTGATAAGAAAACCAAAATCATACAGACTTTTATTGGATATGAATTCTGAAACAGAAAAGTAGAAGACAGGTGGTTATAAGAAAATAAGAAGTACAGGGCTGGGAAGGTGGCTCAGTGGTAGAGCGCTTGCCTTGCATGCATGAAACCCTGGGTTCAATTCCTCAGCACCACATAAACAAAAAGAAAAAAGCCAGAAGTGGCGGTGTGGCTCAAGTGGTAGAGCGTTAGCCTTGAGCTGAAGAGCTGAGGGACAGCGCCCAGGCCCAGAGTTCAGGCTCCACGACCGGACCCCCAAAAAAAGAAAAGAAGTACAAAAAAAGAAACAATGACTACTTCATAGTTTCATACTATTAAATATAATGTTTGTCTTTCGCTTCATTCCTATGGATTGCCAATGTTTGAATTAAAGAGAAAATTATTGCCATGCCAATACTCCTCTTTGAGCAGAGATAATATATTTTTTAACTTCTTTCCAATTGATCTTGAAAGGAATATAAATCTGAATGATGTAATTCTTAATTGTAATAAAGTGCACATGATATTAAAGTTTACATTTTACATGCAGGTTTGCATTCTAAAATATGCAATTCTGTGGTATTAGCATATTCACAGTGTTCTACCACTATCACCAATATCTAGTTCTATAGCTTTTATTCTCCCCAAGCAGAAAATGCATTTCCACTGAATATGCCCTTGCATCCTTCTTCCTTGTTTCTTTTGTTCCTAAAACATAAATCTGTGAAGTTTTACATATTAACATTGAAGCTAACATCTTACACATTTTTCTTCCTTCTTTCTCTTTCTTTGTTCCTTCCTTCCTTTCTTCATTCTTTTCTTTTTTTCTTTAGTGCTGGTACTTAGTCATGAGCTCAAGGCTCATGACTATTGCTTAGCTTTTTCACCCAAGGTTGTTTTTCTACCACTTAAGCCATACCTCCATTTCCATCCTTGTGCTGGATAGTAGGAGATAAGAGTTTCCTATTTTCCTGCTGGTCTGGCTTCAAATTGGGATCCTCAGATCTCAGCATCCTAAATAGCTGTGGGAATGAGCTACCAGCAGATCACATATTTCTTTTAAATTAGTTCAAACTCATTTATTGACCCATTTACTTATATTTTCACTTCTTTCACAAAAGATTTAAGAAGAAATTAATATGTAAACGAATTTTATAGGCTACTATAAAATAGCTTCTTGATATTTCAGATTTATTTTGGCCATAGTGCCCATAGGAAAAAATTCAATTTTTATACTCCCTTATTTTAAAAAGGTGAAGTTAGAAAATACCGTAGTGTCCAATATTTCCAAATGATCACTAGATTCATTGAAGATTCCAGTGGAATTGAAAGCCATTCCTGGCTTTATATGGACCACAAGAAGGGTCATAGGTATGAGACCGAGACAGTAAGATCCTAGGTTCATCATGTGGGCTCTAAATCCATAGGCACACCTATAGAAGCAAATCACAAACACATTTAAAGACACCTGTAGAAAAAGTGACTATAATCTCTTTCCATTATCTACATTCACTGAACCAAAATGTTTTCTAACTTACAAAATTATCTTTAAGTTGTACAAGAGTTATAATTTAACAAAGCAGTTTATATATATATAATACTTCTTGATCAATGTCATCCCTTTCAACATTTTCAGTCATGCTTCCCAACCTACCCCTTTCCTTATGTTTCTTATTTTTATAGGACACACATTGATTTCATGACTGCATTCTGCTTTTCTCTGACTCTTCTTTCATTTACCCCTCCCTACTTGGTTCCCTTTTAAAGTACCCATTTCCTGTGTTTATTTTGTTGAACTTTGCCTTTGCCTTTTTAAGGCATTCCACTATTTGAGTTCTCCCTTGAATCGACTGCATTTCAATTAATACATCTGTATACATTTGCATACCACCCAACATATCTACTTACAAGTTTATAAGCTAAACGTAGCTTTTGCAATTGAGGAGGAAAGTGCAGCCTTTGTCTCTCTGGGCCTGACTTACTTCATTAACATACTGTAGTGTCAACAAGTAGTAGAGTAACAAACTTTAACCAAAGTATTCTTTTTAGTATTATCAACATCCTTAAATAGTTGTACAAAGGAGTTTTGATTCAACATGTCAGTTTGTGCATACAATACATCTTTATCCATATCCTTAAAGTACACCTTCTATTTCACTGTTCATAGAGGATTTCTCATACCTAGAAGAGCAATTCCCAGTCACCCCTCAGATATTACAACAGGCATGTAGACCAATGGTACAGAGCAGAACACACAGAAATCCACATAGCTCAGTTATGAAAGATCCAGTATTAAGCAATAACATCCTATATAGAACACCAATAATTCAACAAATAAGAAAAAGAATTAAAATAAAATTCCATTTTATCAAACTTAAAAGCGTCTCCATAACAAAGGGAATGTTAACTAGGTTAAAGAGAGTCTATAAAATTGGAGAAAATCTTGACTAGCTACATATCTAATAAGGTTTAATAACCAGAAAAAATTTGCAGGGAGCAAAACAAAAAAAAAAATCTCCCAGAGAATGAACATTCAATTAATATGTGGTCAAATGAACTGAACAGACAATTTTCCAAAGAAGAGATACAAATGGCCAAAAAATACAGAAAAATACTCCATATCTCTGGCTATAAAACCGCAAATTAAAATGACATTGAGATTTCATCTTACTCCAGTCAGAATCACCATCCTCAGAAATATGAGCAACAAATGCTGGCCAGGATGTGGGGAAAAGGACTCTTACTCACACACAGTTGATGGAAATGTAAATTAGGTTGACCACTGTGGAAAATAGTTTTGAAGTTTTGTAAAAAAATAAAATTAGAACTATATTATGATCCATTGATACCATACTTGGACATATATCCAAAGAAATATGATAGTTAATATATGGTAGTATGACATTCCCCAAACAAAAAAAAGATAAACAGTGGCAGAATTTTGCTTTTGATACATATCTCTTTTCAAAATATAAAACACTGAAATACCAACAAAGCACATTTTCTTACTTTTTCATGGACTTAATAGGGAACTTATTTAGAGAAGAAATACTCTTTAGTACCCACCATTTCATCAGTAGATATTCTTTACACACAGGGTGATTGAGAAGCTCAATGCGGTTATGTTGAACCATGACCTAGAAGTGAAAGAAAAGCAACAGACATACAATCAGACTCAGAAATTGAGCATTTTTTCTGGATTTATAACTTTAGTTTGCTATTATAAACATAGTATTTATTAATTTTATGGATTTCAGAAAAGTAATAACTACATCAAGACTTTTAAAATATAAACCATAAGCTACAGAGAGTCATTTTATATAGGTGCAGTTATGTAATTCAGTCTCTCCTTAGTGTTGAGATGAGATCAACTTTCAAACTTTACACCAAATTTCTACAGGCATGGACAATCACAAGAGGTTAACAAGGAACACATGTCCATTCTTTCCTTATCTTTCAATGAGGACTTTAAATAATAGAGTGCATATAAATAGTAGTTAAAATAATATGTGGATCATGTTTTCATGAGTATTATTAGAAAATCCAAATATTTATTTTAAAATTACATCTTAATTATTCCAGAAATACATATAGGAATTGACACTAGCAAGATGACAGAATAGGAACCTCTGGGGGTTATCTTTCCTACACAGAAACTGCTTAATAACAATGCACACACTGCCACCCAATTGAGTAATGCAGGATCTAGTTAAGTGATTCCTGTACCAGGGGTTGAAGATGTAAATAAAAAGAACCAAATCAATGACAGATTTCCTGGCATTTAATTGCTACATCTCTCCTGGCACAGTGAAATGGCCTTGGGAGACAATTCTGAATTCCCTGTCTCCTCCTACAAAAACAGAAGCATGGTATGTACATGCAATGTTCTGTCTTTCAATAGGAACCATTTCTAAGCACTAGCAAGAACAAGCACCAGGAGAGGCCCCCTGAGGACAAAGTGGATCAGAAAAGCTTGGTCTAGCACTGAAGAAGCTACATTATTACAGATAGACACTAGGCAGTGCTATAGAAACACAGCAGCTGCAGTATCATGTTATCAGGGAAAGTTTTGCATAGAAATAGGCAGAATCCCTGTTACTCAGAAAAAATGAATCTGTAGCAAAGTCCTGACTTGTTTACTAAAAAATAAAGAGGCTGACATGGTAAACATAAACATTGTGCTACAAAATTAGTATTCTCTCCAGGTCCCTTTCATTTTCATCAAGAATGGACTGTTTTATCAAGACACTTTAGAACCCAGGTACAAACTAGGTAGGTAAGGACACCTCTGCACTTACATTGAGGATTGAAAGAGGTTCATATACGATTTCCTGTGTAGGTGTTATTTTCTTTGTAAATGCTAGTGGACACTGAAGATACTTGAAATTATACTCAATCTGTGAAGGACACAAATTTAAATTGTTAGCCTATTATAAAACTCTAATCATTACCTTGTCTTCTTTCTTTTGTTTTGACTTTTCTTTTTGTGCAAGGAAAAAAAAAAAAAAACAGGGCCTTGTGCATGAAAGTCAAGTGCTTTATCACTCAAACACAGCCCCATCCCACAAAACTTCTTATACATGGCAGCTAATCCAGGAACAGAGATAAAGAAGACTTTAAACAGTGTGGATGATACATTTTTATAAGGGTTATTAGGAATGGCCAGTTTCTATTGAAAAACTTCTTGAAAGATCAAATACGCTAGGCTACAATTCTGCTAAGAATTAACTGATTTAGACAAAGATGAATCATTTTAAGTAGAGAAAGGGGAATTAAATGGTCATATATGGGATATAAGAAATATTCTAGAAAGCTATTCTTTCATTGCTTTATAACTTGTAGTCATGGAAAAAGAAGAATTCTCATGTGGCCTGGATCCCATCTACATAATAATTTTAGTAACCTCAAATCTGGTTGGGAATCAAAAGCCAAAATAACCAACAATGACAAACTGCTGGCCAGTTTGTCCTCGGCATAGGATGGAGATGATGTACTTGTTTGGTCCCATAAGTGAATCATTGAGTTTCTGGAGCATCTGGTCAACCCCATCTATAGGGTTTTGAAGAATTTTAGACTTTCACTCTCCAGGAAATATGAACCAAGGAAATATAAAGATGATATATAACACTAAGTGATATTGTTAGAAACACATTATCTGTGGAAACCTAGAATGTAAAGAAAACATTTCTTCCCAAGTAGGCACGAAAATATTATGATAAGTGAAACCAAACTGATTATTATAATAGGTTGTAAAACTTGTAGTAGCAATATTTTTGGTATTGCTCAAAGAATTGCAGTAAAATAAATTTCCAATTATAACGATGAAATAAACTTACATGGTAGTCTCGGCAGGACTTGTCCTCTGTGGAAGGAATCATGCAGAAATCTAAAAGAATCTTTGGGAGAGAAAACACAGCTGAGCTATCAAGGCAGCAGATTGTCTGAAATGTCCCATTTCTAAACACCACAAAAGTTATGGCCCTTGGATTCCTTTGCTTCTTGTACCTCAAAGATAAATTATAATCCATATGATTTATGCATAAAGTATAAAACACAAAGTAACATAAATATCTCTGCATGCTTCAGAAATATCAGATGGTATCAAGCAAGTCTATGTGCTTAAGAATGAGTTGCTTTTACTAAATGTCTGGCTAGAAATATTCCATTGGTTTGCCCTAAGATATCATGTCTGTCAGGATTTCTAGAGAATTTGTAGATGATTAAGATTCCTTTGCTCAGACAATGACCATTTATTGCCCTAATTCAGATGTTTTCCCCCTGTACTGAGGTCAGCTATAGTTTTGGTCTAGTCTTCCATAATTCTCAGTCTGGAATAGAGGTTTTACTTTTGTTTCTTACTTGTGGATTAATAGAGAATACATGTCTACCTGGGAGTAGAAAGACCACTGGGGGATTGATGCTGAAATGGCAAATGAATATTCTATAGATGCTTAGCACAGGAAAGAATGTTTATAGAGCATTAGAATGACTCCTTGGCTATGTAGAGACAGGTATTTCTATGGAGCTCCTATCTAAGGTATTTGCCTTACTACACATCCAGTGACCCAAATAAATGACTCTGACCAATAATACTGCCTGGCCAGGATTCCCTTTTAGAACCAGAATAGACAAAAGGTCCCATATAGCCCAAAGGTAGTGCATTCCACCTCTCCTCTTTTGTTCAACTCCAGTGCCCAACAGGACTTGTGTGAAATTGCTTTTCCTGTACAAATCTTTCATAGTTACACCTCTATACACAGTGTGAAGACAAAAGTCAGGCCAAGGAGCAGCTGATGCTCAGAACAACAGTTCTTGATTTGTGAGAAGAGAGTCCAGGTATCAGATCTGATTTTTATGGAAAGCAAGATTATCTGGGCCCTTCAGGAAAATACCTGAGCTGTAAAATATTAGACACTAATGAAATTTGAAACAAAAATATACATGTCAAACAAAATATATCTAGAGAGCTGGCGCCTTTATTCTACTAACAAACAGCACTTTGCAGTCTCTGCCCCAAACATAGACTGTTTAGAGAACAAACGTATTTACTATAGGCTCTCACTAATAGGACTCCTAATTGAAGGAATCAAGTACTTGTTCACTAGCTTCCAATGTAGCCTGTAAAAACCCAATGTTCTAGATAAAATTTACTATTAGAAGTTAATGATTAATGCAATAACTCATTACTCATTTCAATAATGAATACATAGGCACTTACTTTCATGCACTCTGGGAGGTATTCTACCATTTCCATGATTGGACATCTGTTGCTTGGAGAATGATGAGTAAAAACCTTCAGACATTCATCCCACCTATAAAAGCAAATATGTAAGACACATGCCATTCTTTATCCTTCTTTTCTGAAAAATAGTTGAAAACTTCGGTTTCTTTTTGTAGCTACTAGAGTAAAGATGAATGTGTTTGTTGTCTTCCACTAGGGAGAATGATGGAAAGGGTGACTCAGGTCAAGATGCACTGTATGTACTAATGGGAATGCTAACATGAGGTCTTCAGGCACAGCTAATTGATGCTAATCAGTGTTTTTCAATAATGTATACAGCTGACATTTTAATATGCTAATTAATGCTGAAGCCCCTCCCACTTTCTTTCTTCCTTTCTATTTCCTCTCTGGCTGTGAATCACTCAGGGAACTCTGAGTGCAGTGGACAGGGAGACAGGTACCTCTTGCTCCTGATGGTGGTGAGGACCACCTCTTTCCTCTTGTTATGAAGTGCGATGTGCAAGAAGGAAGCCTGCTGTTTATTCATCACGATGTCTGCGTCGTGGTTTAGAAGGAGCGCCACAGCTTTGGCATGCCCCTCCCGCGCCGCGAAGTGGAGCGCAGTGTTCTTTTAGAGAAAACGGGAGATTAAAAAAAAATTGGGACGAAAATTTGGCATATGTACACAATGGAATTCTATGCTTCCATCAGAAAGAATGACATTGTATCTTTCATAAGGAAATGGGAAAAAGAACACATGAAGTAAGCAAGATCCAAAGAAACACAGGTTGCTTGGTTTCCCTCATTTGTTGCAACTAGAAAGTGCCCTATAAATCTATAAGTGAACACACTGTATGGTAAAAGACAAAAAATTACACTTGGGCATGATAAATTATACAGGACTCTAGACATTCTCATAGTGAGACCAGCGGAGGATATTCTTAGGAGAGGATCACAAAGGTTCAATAGCTATGGGAATATGATCCTATACAATAATTTTATTGAAATGAACTCCACAAAATAAAAACAAGAAGTTTTATATTATTTTGCTGCTTCTTTTTTTCTTTTCTTCTTTGTCACTGGTTTTTATTTGTGGAACCTTTGCCTTGTATGTAAGTTTCTCTGTTTGGGGTAAGGTCAGGGGGAGCACAGAAATGGTTGGGAGAGGGTGAAAAATGCAGCAGTGATACTAGACATGACATTGAAAATGAACTACATGAATTGTGGGGCAGGAGGAACAGGAGTGAAAAAATTGGGAGAAAACAAGGGAAGAGGTGATACTGTTTAAAAAGAAATTACTCATCATCTGACTTATATTACTTATCTGCAACCTCACTGTATATCACCTTTACAATAACAATAAAAAGAAGAAAAATTGGGACAATGGAAAATCATTGTCTTATAGCATTGTGGAATTGCTCTAAAGAAATGATTCACAGACTTAACTATTCAATACTCAAATGCATCAATTTAAGATTTATTCAGAATCATCATGCTTTGAAATAATGTTTATCATCCCAATATAGTGTGTGTGTGTGTGTGTGTGTGTGTGTGTGTTTATAGGGCGGTGATTCCACAAGGAAACAGGGCAGGCATTCAGCTAAGGATGCTGTGAATATAGAGGAGAATATTCCAAGGAGATTGCTCATCTCTAAGAGCTGTGCTTTCCCAACTTGGGGTTTATAAGCTAGTAAAAACAAATTAGATTGTCGTAAGGTTGCCACTTCTCTGTCTTGCAGTGAGAAGACATTTTAAAAACAGACAAGAGCGACTTCCTATGTCTGTCATTTCATGAACAATGTATATTTCAACACTCTTCAAAGAGGAAGGGCACCACAAAAGACAGTCAGTCTTTCCAATCAATGGACTTCAAAACAACCCAATTTCGTAAATACTCAGTCCTGCTCTCTTCATTCTTCTAGGTTCACCAGAGCATGGTGAAAGCTTTATCTTCAAGTCTAATGGGCCTGGAAGGGCCTGTGTGACCATGGAAGGGTGGCCACTTAGTGTTCTCCCATTTCTGTTTCCCTGTTGTTCATACCTTACCACAACAAAAGCTGGAGGTAGAATAGGACAGGAAGAGAGCAGACAGCTAAGATGAAGGCTTCCTGGCAATTTTGGAATCCGATTTTGAGTTTGGCAAGAAAAATAGAGCACCTACCCCCTCTTCATCTAGCCGATCTGTGCACTTCAAATTGGTATCCAGAATGACCTTCATGGTCTGAGTGTACCCACCCATGGAAGCATGATGCAAAGCCGTCCAGCCATTGTGGTCACTGTCAAGAGAGTTGAGAAAGGATCTGTGCTCACAGTATACAGAAAACAGTATACAGAGGCAACAATGCTCGATAAGAAATGTACTCATTACCTTGCCCATGTAATTGTAACCCCTCTGTATGGTATTTTCACAAAAAAAATATACAGATGAAATGTGGGATGGCAACCACTCTGTTCATGGTATGTGGGTCGAATGACAAAGTGGGCAACACTTTGATATTTAGCATATAATTATCTATCAATAACATAATCCAAACAAATATTTTAGTCAGGAGGTTAAAATATAGAGCACATAAACACATTACCAAATGTTTGAAGATGAAGGAAATGACCATATGTTTGTGTCATATAAAGGTGCTATGTGCTATTGAATGCTATTTTCAATTTTGTTGTATTGTTTCATTAAATATTGTGCCAACAATGCTCCACAATAGTAGCATTAGTTTTTATGGTTAATAGTTAGTGTTAGTAATAACATCATTGGGGGTGGTGGGGGTAGCCCTGGAGCTTGATCTCAGGGTCTGAGCCCTGCCCCTAAGCTTTTTTGCTCAAGGCTAGAGCTCTACCTCTTGAGCCACAGCTCTACTTTCAGCTTTTGGTGGTTAATTGGAGATTTCTTGCTGACTTTCCTGTTCAAGCTGGTTTTGAACAACAATCCTCATATTTCAGCCAACTGAGTAGCTAGGATTACAGGCATGAGCCACTGACACATAGTGATATTGCCTTTTAACAATTGAAAACTCACATATGTTTTAAGAATACGATGGACAGAAATGTTTAGTGAGATATAAATTAAGATAACATAATTAAAATATAGAAAAAGGCAACCTAATACTGAAGCTCCACATGTCCTCACCTGAGAAACAATGCTCCTTTTTTCAGTAGAAGTTGAACAACTTTATCATGCCCATTCTTGGCGGCCAGGTGGAGAGGAGTCATCCCGTGGAGATCCCCTTCATTCAAGAGCCTTGTGTCACTTATGTCTTGCAGGAGCCTCTGACAGGTATTGATTCGCCCATAACTTGAAAGATAGTATGTTTATGTATTTTCAAAGTCAGTATTACACCAGAGAAGGACATACTCATAGATCATGAAGACTGGCTTTTACCTGGCTGCAAAATGCAAGGGTGATTTCTTATCTTTGCTTTTTGAGTGAATAGACACGTTGAAACCAAGTAGGTTATTTACAGAGACAGGGACCCCCTGTCTGCATGCGTAATGGAGAGGGGTACACCCTTCATTGTCTTCATCCATCACAAGCTCCTTAATATGTTGCATCTATGGGAAAATGAATATTTGTATAGAACTCTATTGTGTTAATACAGCATTTTTCTAAATACTCTGCAGCATAGAATTTTCCAATAAGTGTCAATTTGTATTCCTCAAGGACAAACCTGTAAACTACCTAAAGGATATTAGGATAAAATAAGTAAGGATGAGATATCATGCTCTCTCTAAAATGTACATTACCCTATTAAAGGCTCTGAGAGATTCTGCAGTCAGGGAATGTACCTAAACAGCATTTTCCAAACATATGTGGCCATACTTTCTAATCTCTTCCTTTATTTCCCAAAAGAATGCTTAACATGTTCTTTTAAGCAAATGGATGAGAATATTAAAATTAGGCTTATTTGGTCTTTTGTAGTATATTAAACAAAACAAAGGAGAGCAAATAAGTCACTTACTCAAATTAATAGACATTGTTAATTTTGTTTAAAATATTCAGTATATGTGTTTTTGATTGATTATTAAAGGGAGACACTGTATAAAAATCTATTTATTACTAAAAATGGCACATTTCACATATGCCCAGTCTGTAACTACTGATAAATATAAATACAGAGATATTGCTTTCAGCCTTGAATCAATAAGTCAAGTGTATCAAGGAGATTCTTGGTAGAATATTGTTAATTTGCTTACATACGTAATTTTCTCACTGTTATAAAATTTATAACCATGAATGATTGAAGGAAACATGACTAATTATGATGTATCCTTATTATAGATGTGTATGTACAACAATCCTTTGTAACATCAAAAACCAAAAACCAAATTCAACGAACTATAATTATCATCATCATCATCATCATCATCATCATCATCATCATCATCATCATCATCATCATCACCACCACCACCACCACCACAATGGGAATACATGTTCAAATGCAGCATTTTTATTTTAAAACAGTTTTGAAATCCCTGAATAAATTTTCATATCAGTAAAATTCATAGCAAACAAAACCAGCTTACTTCCTGCAAAACACAGCTCAGTCTGTGAAAATCCACAGACATACCTTACCTGCATAAACTCAGGTTGCAAATTTTTTAATCCATAAGGTTGCTGTACAGTCAAATGTAAGAAGTTACGTCCAAGATGATCTTTTATATCAACCTTGGCACCTATAAAAAAGAGTATAATATAAATTAGAATTCTTAACATTTATTGAAAGGATGGCTTATGGTAAATTTTCAACTTAATATCTTGACTAAAACTTTTTGCCAACCTTCAACAGAAAATTTAATGTAGATGGAAAAACTAAATGTTTAAAAATATGGTGCATGTTTGTGTGTATCTGTGCACATGTACATGTGTGTGAGGTAGAAAGTGTTTGATATATTACATTAATACATAAAGCCATAACTTAAAAAACATTTTGTTATCATAAGGGTGATGTATATAGGGGTTACAGTTACATAAGCCAGGTAAAGAGTTAATTTCTTTTTGGACAATGTCACCCTTAAACCCTAACTTTTGAAACATGGAGCAATTGGAAGATAAAAAGAATGAAATGGGGGAAGAGCTCTTTCTTCTCTGAAGAGAAAAAAGGAGAGGGATCAGAAAGATGAATAATGGGAGGTAAAGTGGAGAGGAGAAGAGGGGGAGGGGATGGGAAGAGTTGGGGACAGCTCTACTCTTTGTTCTCACAGCAGTAAGTTAATGGATGTAACAGGGATGGTTACAACACCTATGCCATAGAGAATTGACTCATTTATAGACAACTGATAGAATGTTCAGCAAACACCTGATGTGTAACCATTGCCTATGAATGTTATCTATCACTATTCTGAAATCATCTTTTAAATATTGCTCCTTTACTAGACATGGGAAGTGTTTCTGTTTAATACATAACAGGTGAAAGTCAAGGCTTCATATACAGGAACACAAATAAATAAATAAGAGTTTATTCCAAAGACTTGGCTTGCTCCATCTTTGTACCTTTAGAGAGTAGCAAATTCACAATATTCCAAGATGCAGAGGCCGTTGCTAGTATCAGAGGAGAGCGTCCTTCCGAATCAGTGGTGTTGATATCTGCTCCCTGAGACAAAGTAAGTCATTCACAAAGAGCTATGCACAGATCAATCAGCTTGCACTGAAGTATCAGAAATACACTGGGATAGAGCATCTATATTATGGACACTACTCAAGCACATGACTAAGCATTGCATTACGTGAAATTTCCCTCTATTTTGTACATTAGAATATCAGAAATCAGGGCTTTTTAGGATAATTTCAATGTTGAAAATATTCTCACATGTTAGGTGTCTAACTGCTATCTTGTAATAGTTGTATTGCTTTGTAAACCCTAAAAATAAAACCCTCTCATATCGAAGCTAAGAAATTATTTTAAATAAACTTGTAGATTGCATATATGAATTTTATGTCATCTGACACAGATAAACTAAAATAACTACATTGAAATTACTAAGGTAAAGTTTTCTGTTCAGCTTTTATCTGAGACAATTTTTATTTAAAGGCCCAAATGATGGCATATGCTTATCATAACACTTACTCAAGAAACAGAATAATGATTTGAGGCCAGCCCTAGTAAAAATAAATTAGTGAGACTCAATTTCAACAAACTGAGTATCTAATTGATATCAATCATCATCTAATCGATCATCTAATCAATATCATCTATGTCAGAGTTATAAGTTTTATAGTTCGAGGCCAGCCCAGGGAAAAAATAAAATAAAACAAAGGCAAAAGCCCCTATCTGAAAAATAAGCTAAGAGATAAAAAAGGCTAGGCATGTAGCTCAAGCAATAGAGTACTTGCCTAACAAGTGTGAGTCCCTGAGTTCAAATCTGCATACCACCATGTTCTAAATTTAACAATTATATTTTATAAGTATTATAAAATATTACAATGATAATGTTTCCTGGAACAAAAACAAAAAAACAAAAAAGAAGCCTTTGAGAATTTCCTGAAAATAAGTCTATATTTTGAACAGGGTAATCCAAAAGTTTAAACACTGATTATGGACATTTCCCTTCGTTCAGGATCTAGTGGACACGGGTGACTGGCTGCTGGTCCCCTCTGAGAGACTGGTGTCAGGTGCAAGTCTGCCATAGTTCTCTTGCTAGCGGAGGGAACAGAGGGCAGCATCCCCAGGAAACCATGTGTGTCAAAATACCCATGATGTTCACTGAGGCCTTCTAAGATTCTTCTACATAATCATTATGATTTCAGTAGCTGTTACTGGCAACACACTTGTGTTATATACATGTGAAACCCTATTTTTAGCTACTATGGTGGACCTATAAAGGGCTATCATACATGTATCCATTTACAGGACTTGTAAAACTTTAATTCAAAAGTTGATTGCTTACAGTAAAAAAGACCTCATGCTTACATTTGCAAGAATTCCTCAATAATTTTTCTCAATCTCTTTGTTTTTCCTGGCTTGACAGGTGGTGGCGAGGCATGGGACTAAAATCTTACTGGCAAGTGAAGGCAACTTAAGTTGAAAGTCCGTGTCTGCCTCAAGCCACTGATGCTGAGGAAGGATTAGTGGAATTCCTTAAGACCTGTACTCCCAAGAAAACTGGTTCACGGACCATCACAAGGCCTCTACTTGCAATAGCCAAATAAGCTCTAAGCAGGAAAGCATTGATGAGGACATCAGAAGGCACACTTTGGTAAGAAGGTTGGCCATGATACATCCCTACAAAATATATTCTAGTTGCCAACATGGAACCCTTTCTTCGTTGCTATGTGAGAAACTAACAGGTGGTTTAATTTTGAAAATCAAGATTATATATTTAGATAATGAGTTTTCAACTGTAAATAATAAGAAAAGTACACTTATTGGCTGAATAATTACCACTGAAATTAAGTAGTCTGCTAGCTCATGATGATCAAATAATGAGGCTCTGCAAAAAAGAAAATTGAGATAATATTGATAAAAATATAGAAAACAAAGTTATTATACCAGAACACAAGTCCTTAGCTGAAAATCAAATAATATGATATGTTAATGATTAGTAGTCTCTCAGAATTTACCACTGATTCTGATTAGCATATTTTCAAAGTCATGGTGATAGGAGAAAATCAAATTCAAGCAAGACACACCTAAAATTTACCTCTGGAGTTCAATAGCCTCCCTCCTACCCCCCCCCCCCCCACCTCCTCCCCTGCCTGGGACCTGTTTAGTCACAAAAGCTAACAAGATAACTTTAGCTTTCCTGAATGTTTATGAAGCCAACACTAATGGAGAGAGTTAAAGTCACAGTCAGTTAAAAGGGTAGTGCTAATTAGTAAAGCAAATAGTAGAGCAGCACTGTAACACATGCTAAAACCATGTTTTATAGTGTAAATTCCATTTCTATAGTCCTTTCACAAACTTTATCGCCTCTTCTTGGTCCTTTATTTATGGATTTGAGAATCAGATTTTTTATTTTTACCAAAAGCCTCATAAGAGGTTGCTTTTCTGGATAAAAATATTAATTATATTTAGAAACTTTAGGAGTTGAAATATTAAGTCTCTATTTTTCTAAACCAATTCCTTCTTAAGCACATTTGCTATTTAAGATTGTATTCAAAAGGTTCATTTTAACTATACTCCAGTCACCAGATTTCCAAATTGAATAATATTGGAATCAAAGAGTTCTAAAAACCTCTGGTACCTATCAGAGATTTGAATCTGAGGGTCTTCTTTGGCATTGGAACTTTATAAACAATTATATGATTTTATTATATAGCAATTTGAGAAATTCTAGTCTAGATGTTCCCCAAACTCCCTAACTCTAAATTTTGCCTTCTTTCAAAATTTTTAAGAGTTCCTAGCTGGTTCTTGTCATATCACTAGTCCTGGATTTATATAATATATGCAAGCTTGTTTTCCTAATCTTCTGTTGTGATATATATTTATCTTCATAACTGATTATTCCTTCTTAACTTTTGAAAATCTTTATTTTTAAAATTTTTAGGTTATTATCTTTCTTGATTCATTTGAAGTAAGTAAGTCTTTTGGTGATTTGTTGCTCATAACAAATTTGTTGCTCACAAATTTTTCAGAAATAGAAGCTCCTTTTATCCATGAATATTTCATAGCAGTTAATGCATATTCATCCTCATATTTAGAAGCCTAAAATTTAGAAGCCACCTTACATTTTAGCTGGAGTTTCTTTTTTCCCTTGGAAGTACTGTAGAATTTCTGGTCCAGTTACCTACTGTCGATTTGTGAGCTCTTTTCTGACATTCCATGATTCAAGTCTAATTAAAAGTCTGTGGCGTATGTGTGTTTTGCGATTGTTGTATTAGAAAAAGAGAAAGAGACAGAGAGAAACAGAAACAGAGACACAGGGAGGAAGAAGAGAGGAGAGGAGAGAGAAACAGAGAGCAAGAAAGAAATTGAGGGAGAGACAGACTTCTCATCTACTTCTTTTACTCACAGGGGGACAGATTAACACTTCCCCCCAAACTTCACAAAACTTCCCCCCAAACTCTCAATCTACACCCCTTATCCCAGTATGAAGACTATAGTTTTAGGCACTTTACTTACTGTGTTTCTGTTAAACTGCAAAGAAATATGTCATCTGGGGAGATTTTTCCCCAAAGCAGCATATTTGGAAAATATCTATCCATACTTGTGAGGGCCAGTAGAAGAGATTGGAGGTGTCTCTGGGTTTTGCACCTGTTCCTGCCCCATTGTCTTCACTGAGCATGGGAGAACTGAAGCAGGATGGACTGAAATGGCTTAGAAAGTCAAGTGTGTTGGCTTTCCTTAGCACATAGGAAGTTATTCTTGAGCCTAAATCTAGTGGCCTAAGAATACAGAACACACCAATGAAAATTTTATTCTGTAAAAATCAGTTTAACATTGTGTTCTGATATCTAGGCTATAGAAAAAAATCCAGTTGAACTATAGGACCTTTGTTAGTTGTTCTTCTCTCTTGGGCTAAAATTGTTTAGAATCTTTTTGCTGAATGTATAATTGAACTTGTGAAGGTTAAACATCTTTATACAGAATGAGAAGTGGGGAACTTGCCTGTGCAACAGAGTCTCATGATTTCCATCAACAGCATTAACAATATCATTGCTACCAGAATAGGAAGAGATCATCATTTTAACAATCTCAGTGGCTCCTTGGGTTGCAGCAAAATGAAGGGCCATGCACTTGCCATTCTAGAAACAGGTTTGATAGCAGAGTCAGTGTTTATATCTCAGAGGAGGATATAACTTATATACCATTTTGTGGAAAACATGTTGTTCAACAAAATTCCAGACACTGACAGGCAAAGACCTGAAATCTATACTTTTAGTCACCCATAACTGGCCCCGGGGTCACTCAATTCTTGTATATACATATCCTTAGAAATTAGTTAGACGATCCAAAACTAAAATATGTTAACTGTTCAGGATGGAATTATAACCAAAGATATTCATGATTGGAATTCAGAATTCCTGGATGACAATAATTTATTATTGTACTTGAGGGAACACTTTGAATTATTTAATGATGGATAAGCTGTTTGTAGTCTTTACTGCATCTGCATTTGTAATTGTTTTAGATACATTGAAATTTACAAATATAAAAATCAAGATATTGTGCTTTTACTAGAACAGAAGGGAATACTATATACTTTCTGCTATATACATTTCCAATTCACATTGACTGTAAATAAATTGTAATGTATCTTGAGATACATTACAAGATACATCTTGTGATGATTCTAAAATAAAAGTATCTTACAAAGTATGAACAAATACCTCCTGCAGGTCAATGTGTGCGCCATTGTCCAGACACATTTTAATCATTTCCAAGTCACCACTCTGAACTGCCAGGTGGAGTGGGCTGGCTTTCTTGTTATTCACAAAATTGATATGAGACTCCCGGGTGTATCCACTCTCCTCACCTTTAGAAGGAAGTATAATTTGAAATGAACATTTCAATAAAATAAGATTTTATAAGGAAATTTAGACTTACATGAAAGATTATGCAGAGATCCTATTAAAAACTTTTCAAGCATATCTGCCAGGACACTCTTCTGTATTTCGAAGAATTAAAGCAAGTCTCCACTCACCAAACTTTAATATTAGTTCCATGCATTTTTTGGCACCTGAAAACGCAGCCTGGTGTACAGGGTAATCTCCCCATTTATTCGACTTACAGAGTTTTGCTCCTTTACTTAACTGGTGGAAAAGATAAAGACAAAAGTCAATGACATGAGTTAAACCCGAAATCACAAGAGTGAATGTGTATATCTGTGCCATTCCTGGAATGTTCTACTTCCCTGGGCCACAATAAAAACATAGAAACTTTGTACTTATACAAAAATCTATGAAAGACAGTAATTTCAGAAGTAGGCTAAGATTCTTCAATATACTTACGTTATAACTTTTGAAGATGGAGTAACACCGTGATTCAAAATTATCAACTTGATAACTCATAAATGCAACATACTTTAATGGAATGTATGAATACTTTTTAAAAAAAGAATATCATGATCTCTATGCTGTGTTGCAATTTCTATGAAAATAAAGTGATAGTCTCCAGATTTTTCCTTTATTTATTTAAAGTTAATAGGAACTATATAAACTATAAATAAAGATTAATAATATACCAGCAGTTATAAAATCAAGAAAATCAGTTATTTTCATTAATAAATGTTCTTTACTACACAAAAATTAGAATTAGGATTTATCATTTCACCTGAGCCAATCACTTTGAAGTCCTATTTTGTATACCTTAACTTCAATTTTAAGTACCTTTCACCATTATGATATATCAGATTTTGAAAGTAAATTCTTAAAATCTTGCCTCTGAGAGCCAGGATGAGCATATGCATGTTTAACATATATGTGTGCCTCTGTATAATTTTGTGTTCTTAAAAATGGAGCATATGCCTCAAAAAACCATATTGTTAACGAATATATTTTTGAGCAAATTCTTTATAAAACAATACCATCACACAGTATATACATAAAACTTATACTTGGAAAGAGATAACATCTTAAATATATATGCTCATATATGCTTGTAAATATGCATATATGCAATTATGTATATATGTATGTATGAACATATATATGTATATATAATTGTTCTAATTTTTCCTATTTTCTATCTAATTATTTTTAGTTTTTGGTTGGAGTGAAGTTTATTTTCATTCTTTTTATTATGTACTGTATTCTCTTTTTGGTATAATCATGTCAGCTTGTAGGCTACATATTCATTTCTAAGTCTATCTAGTGAATATATTAACATATATTTGCACATGCAAGTATAGGTAATCATTTTAAAATGTTTTCATTTTATGTTCTTTCTTTGGAGTGTTGAATAAGCAAAATCAATGGTAAGATTCAGGGGAGAACTCAATGTAATTTCATAGAAAGGCTAACTCACAGTTCAACCAATAAAACCAGAAAGGAGGTACTTGAATAGAGGAGTAGGGTTAAGGAGAGAGGGGTAGATGAATGAAGAAAAGGAAAGGGAGAGAATAAAATCCTAAACTTTCTACAATATTAAGAAAAGCAAGGAAAGGACTGGGGTTGGGAGAGATTTAGAAGAATGCTAAAAGGGGTGACATTGATCAAGATGATTTGTATTCATAAACTGCTTTATTGAATGGCAACTCCTTTGTACAACTACTTAAAGATAATAAAAATAGATAATAAATACAGAAACTGCTCTGAATAGTACACATCAGATTAAAGAATATTTGAAAGATAGCCTTGGGAAGTATTGCCATTTTCACAATGTTAATCTTTCCAATCCAGGAGCATGGGAGTTTTTGCCATTTTCTAAGTTCTGTTTTGATTTCCTTTTTCAAGTTTTTAAAGTTTTCATCATAGAGGTCCTTCACTTCTTTGGTTAAGTTAATTCCTAGGTATTTTTATTACAAATGGAGTTGCTTTCCTGATTTCAGCCATACTTTTCTCATTTTGGCATACAGAAAAGCCATTGATTTTTGGGGGTTAATTTTATACCCTGCTCCTTTGCCAAAGTTTTGAATCAGCTTGAGTAATTTGGGAGTGGAGTCTATGGGATTCTTTAAATACAAGATCACGTCATCTGCTGCTTTGTATGTCCCTCCCCCACAGTATAACCCCTGCTTTCACTGTATTTGATGTCGGTATAATTTGTGGAAGGGAAGGGGAAAAACAAGTCGTTTAAATAAGGATACAGGTGGGCCCGTTGCAACAAAGAGAAGTACAAGTTGTCATGTTGAAAATGAACTTTACAACTTTGGTGGAGGGGGGAAGGATTGGGAGGAGCGGGGGGAGGATGGGAAGGGATGGGAAGGAGAAACAAAGAAGGAGGCTACAATGCTTGATAAGAAATGTACTCATTATCTTGCGCATGTAATTGTAACCCCTCTGCACAGTATTTTCACAATAAAAAATTAAAAAAAGAATATTTGAAAGAAAGCTATTGCCTGGAATTCTAGGAGTGCATTAAAAAGGTAATGACAGAAGCAAATTAAGTCACCAAATTGTAATCCCCATTGCTAGTCTTTCTGGACCCCCAGGTAGCCTTTCCTGAGAGTAGACTGGTTCTGCACACTCAGGACAGTGATTGAGAATCGTTAGTCATTACATTGCTGAGATTTTCCTGTTTGAAAACTGAGATAACAATGCTGCTCTTGGGAGCTGGAATGGCTATGTTCCCTTTGGTTTTTATATTATGGGTCAAATAATTCATCTTTACCTTTGACTACTTGGAGGCTCAGAATTAAATATCTTTATCAACATTACATGCTAGTACACTTTGCAATTTCATTCTAGCCTAAGTCTTAGTTTCATCTTAATTTTTCCTGCCTATATTTCCTTGTACTTGAGTTTTCTCACATCTTCCATGAAACATTATTTCAACATGATTCATATGCTCCATATTCAATGTCAAGTCCATTTAGGATCTAAGAATGTAGAAAGACATAAAAATATACAGAACTAAGATTTTTAAACCAATCTTCTGTGAAAAGAAATAGCAAAATAATATCATACAAACCAAAATATTCAGTGCTTCACTATTATCTCTAGCACATGTGCTCAATACCGCTGTGTTTCCGTTTTCTCCTTCCAAATTAATATCAGTAGTGCTGTGCTCAGTTAAGACCTACACAGGAGAGAGGAACAATTGTCAAGAAGATAATTTTCAGATTTCCAAATAAGAACTTATTTTCCCTCGACTCTAAGCTCTCAGATGCTGAGATGACTTTTTCCACTTTATTTAACTCTCTTAACAAACTTGCATATAATGGATAGAAAGTAAATTAACCAAAATGGATAAAATTATAAGTGTAATATCACATCAATTAAGGCAATGTTGAATTATGGAACTGAAAATAGAATACAATTATAGATACATATTGGAGTTTCGCTGAATACTTACTATTTTTTAAAGTGAATTATGTTAAGTGATATTTTCAAAAATTACTTTGTAGAAGTATTTGGAATGTGTACACGAGGTGAATGAAAGAGGCATGGGAAGACAAGGAAGAAAAGAGAAAGAGAAATGATAGAAGGATGGGATTCAACTGAACAAAAATTACTTCATGTTTTTTCTTTCCTCCTAAAACTAACATCTTTGAACTGACCCACCAGATACTTCTCCTCTTGATAAAATGGTGTGATAAAACTATGACATATTTTAACTTTTTAAAAGGTTTATTAAATAACTATGTTATCAGAGCACATTCCCAATAGAATATGTCCCAGTGTGAATGTCAGCAAATAAATTTGGCCACTAAGAAGCTCTGTTCCTAGGAGAAACTTCTAGGTTTTAGGGCTCAACAACATGAGGAAACTGACAATGGATACAAGGAAATAAAACCAAAAAGATCATTTCCTTGATTTTAGACAACTTCTCACTCTATTCCTTCAAAAAATATTTTATTGTCATTGTAGAGGTGATGTCCAGAGGGGTTATAGTTATATGAGTCATGTAATGAGTACATTTTGTTTTGAACCAAGTCATCCCTTCCCTCATTCTCTCCCAGTTTTTGCCTCCTCTCATCACCCACAAGTTGTATAGTTCATTTTCCACATAGTATCCAGTGTTGTATTTGTTTGTCCTTTGTCCTATCTTTTCTGTGCTCCCTTACCCTCTCAAAGACAAACTAACAAGCAAGACAAAAGGAAGACAACAAGAAACAGCAACAACCACAATAAAACCCCACTTATTTCCATTTCTTGAAGGCCATTTATTAAAATATTATTTATATACACATAGCTATTGAACCTTTGTGATCTGCTCCTATAAATATCCTCCTTTGGTCTTACTTGTGTGACTATCTAGAGACCTGTATAATTTACCATGTCCCATAGTATTTTCTTGTTTAGTATCCAGTGTGTTTACTTGTATGTAGATTTATAGGCACATTCTTGTTACCACAAATGAGGGAAAACATGAAACCCATGTTTCTCTGGGTCTGGCTTACATCGCTTAATATGATTTTTTCCGAGTCTTTCCATTTCCTTATGCATGGATGGAATGTCACTCTTTCTGATACATGAGTAGAATTTATACACACACATACACACACACACACACACACACACACACACATTTGTCCACTGAGGGACATCTGGGTTGATTCCATATCTTGGCTATGGTAAATCATGCTGTAATGAACATGGTTGTGATTGTAGCTTTAGTGTGGCTTGGTTTGTGGTTAATTGAATAGATGCCCAGGAGTGAGGTTTCTGGATCATAAGGAAGCCCTATGTTTAGTCTTTGAGAAACCTCCATACTGCTTTCCAGAGTGGTTAAACAATTTTACATTCTAACCAATAGGGTAGTAGAACAGATCTAGAATTGCATATAATTTAAACAGCTTTTTTAAAGTTATGCATATGACAGTACAATAACTATACTCTAACAAATGCTACAAATCTATAATCTGTGACATTTAAAGGGTTAAAATGAAAAAAAATCTCTTTGTATAAATGTTGAAAGGTTCTTTTACACATGATACTAAGCCTTCAAGTTCTATCTTCTAGAGAGAGCAATGAAAGTATACAAATTTAATCATGACTAGGCATTTCTGGAAAGCTGAGAGGTGAACTCTCTAGAGATCCCTGAGCTAGGAATCCAAAAAGGGCAAATAAGTTGATATTTTGAGATTACATCCCAGAACAAAGACTATATGGAGATAGAAGACCACTGACTAATTCCCAGTCCAATGGGCCCCATAGAATATTGTACTGCCTATGTATTGTCCATGCAAGAATGTGAGGTGATACACAGATTACACCTCTTTTACTTTATAATCATATTGGCAATGGTGGAAAGTCTCAGGGAAGACTAGAAGATACTCTGTAAATGGTCAAGGGCTGGTGGGTGTAGGCCAGTGCTCTGGGCATATGTGAAGAGGTAGGCTTTAGGGCTTTACTCCAGCTGCTTCCTATTCCTGATATCTCTACTGAAGCAGATGGGTTTAAGAATAGTTTTAGATGATGTTATGGCTGGTGACACCAAGAAAGAAGAGATTATTTCAGTCCTTTCATGACCATACATCTCTTCTTTTTCCAGTCATGACCCAGCAACATTTCTTTTATGTCTACAATCTAGTTTATAAATCTGTTATGAGCTTATTTTAAATCCTTTTTGTTCTATTTCTATGCAATAATCACTTTTCTGTATTTATTGGTCTGAAATTTTCTTTTTCTAATTCCCAAATCATACTTTTAGAGTCAAGATTAATTATATTAATGGGCATTTGTTTCTGAAAAGTCTTCAGACAGCACCTGACATTGCTGAGGGTTCCCTACAAAGACTAGGGACCCAACCCAGTGAACATGGAACATGTATAATGTAGACATTAAAATAAAAATGTTTGTTGGGCACCAGCAGCTCCTGTCTGTAATCCTAGCTACTTAGGAAGCTCAGATCTGGGGATCATGGTTCAAGAACTCCAGGAGACTCATCACCAATTAATCATAGAAAAAGCTGGAAGCGAAGCTGTAGCTCAGTGTTAAAGAGTGCTGGCCTTCAGCTAGCCCAGGCCCCAAAAAAGTGTATTCTCATGGGACTTTCTAATAACCTTCCCAGAGGTCATCTTGCTACAGTTTTATAGTTCCTCAGCAATCTCCTCTAGTCATTCATTCATTCATTCATTTAGCAGCCACCATTTACCAGTACAGTGCTGGGCACTAGAGACATTAGCAAAGCAGAGTTCTTCTTTCATTGATAACCACCCAGTGGAAAGAAAAGCATGTGAATATTTATTGACAATACTACATGTTAAGAATTATGATGTTCAAATCAGATACAGCGAGACAACATGAAGCAGGCTTCCCTTCGTCCCTGTATGCCCATTTTGGAGGGCTAAAAGTTTTTTGTGTTAAAGGGAAATGGCTCTCTTTGCTTATTTTTTTAGTAAGTTTTTTATTGTGAAAATACTATACAGAGGGGTTACAATTACATGAGCAAGGTAATGAGTACATTTCTTATCAAGCACTGTTGCCTCCTCCTTTGTTTTCCCCTTTCCATCCCTGCCCTCCCATCTCCACAAGTGCACTCCCCCGCCAGTCCCCCCTGCCCCTCCCCCACGCCAAAGTTGTAAAGTTCATTTTCAACATAGCATCTTGTACATTTCATTGTTGCAATGGGTGCATCTGTATCCCTATTTAAAAAATTTGTTTTTGCTTTTCCCTCCCCAAATTATACCAACATCAAATACAGTGAAAACAGGGGTTTTCACATACAGTGGGGAAGGGGCATACAAAGCAACAACAAAAAAAAAAATCACCTTATAAATACGTTAGAAACAATAGCAAGAAAGAAAAAACCACTTGTGTCCTTATCTTGGGGTTCATTTTGCCCAATATCATCTTATCTTTACTTATTTATACATAGTTAGATTTGGGTATGGCTTAGTACAAAAGCAAAATCATCATTACCAAAATTATTTCCACAAGAAAGCTTATTGTTAGCTCCAAATAGCTTAACTTAGAAATGAACATGAAGGGGGCTGGGAAGGTGGCTCAGTGGTAGAATGCTTGCCTTGCATGCCTGAGGCCCTGGGTTCGATTCCTCAGCACCACATAAGCAAAAAGAAAAAAGCTGGAAGTGGTGCTGTGGCTCAAGTGGTAGAGCACTAGCCTTGAGCTGAAGAGCTGAGGGACAGTGCCCAGGTCCAGAGTTCAGGCCCCACGACCGGACCCCCACCAAAGAAAAAAAAAAAGAAAGAAATGAACATGAAGAACATGATTCATTTGTAAAATGGCATTCTTTGTTAAGGAAGTACATGTATTTTCTATTGTACCTGTGAGGCTCTGAGATGTAGTTGAAAAGTCAGGGACTAAATCTAATTTTCACCTGATGGACATTCACCAATATTTCCTTTCTTAGAAGAAATTCACTCTCAACTTTTGAAAAAATAAGAAAATTTCCCAATGTTGTCTATGTATTTTCTGCTAGCCTGTATTCTGACAGGCCTCCTGCGCTAACAAAAACAGCACATTACAATTGTATTTTCTATCTTTGCCAAAGTGCTCATGACCTTCCTACTCTGAATCATAAAATCAATGAGACTAAGAGTGCCAAAGCCTGATCTTGGGAACTTTTGAAAGAGACAAATTTCTAATTCTTGTTTTCATCATTCAGGATGTTAGGCAAGTTATTTAATTTTCTCTGCCTTATTCAGCTGTGAAATAATAGACTTAATGTATAGATGTTTCTTAATGAGAATTTAATAAGCACAGAAACATTAATTGTTGGAAATGAACTTTACAACTTTGGTGCGAGGAGGAGAGGGAGGTACGGGGTGGGAAGGGATAGTGGAAGAAAAACAAAGGATGGGTAACAATGCTCAAAAAGAAGTGTCCTCATTACTTTACTCATATAACTATAACCCCTCTATACAGCATCTTTACAATAAAATAAAATTTAAAAATGAATAAAATTTATGGTAGTAAAATGGGCATTAGTGGCTCACATTTATAACCTTGCTACTCAGGAGGCTAAGACCTGAAAATTCCAGTTTAAAGCCAGACCAGGCAGGAAAGTCCATGAGACTTTTGTATTCAAATAATCACCAAAGAGCCAGAAATAGAAGTGTGGCTCTAGTGGAAGAGCATCAGACTTAAGCAAAAAGGCTAAGTTATAGTGCCTAAGACCTGAGTTCAAGCCTCAGAATCAGCACATATAATAAGCTAAAGCTATTTTTTAAATGTCATCACCATCGCCATCACAACCACTACCATCACTACTATCATCATCATCAGTTGTTAAGAGTAAATACTTGTAATGATCACATTTCATTTACCGTGGCAGTTTAGATTGGTCACTATGGATCTGGAGAGAGAAGCAGCTATGGGCACCACACCCCTCCAGCAGTCAGGCCTTCAGAAGTGGGCTGGCACACTAACCTTGGTGATCTCATTGTACATGCCCTGCACAGCTATGTGAAGGGGAGCCATCATGTTGCTGTTTCGGAGGTTTGGGTTTGCTCCTTGGCCGAGAAGGAACTTCACACTTCCAACCTGGTTGTTCTCTGTAGCCCAGTGCAAAGGGGTGTTTCCATAATCATCCATTGCATTCAGCACTGGAAGACAATAGCAAAGTGTTTTGTTCTAATTCCATTGAATATCCCCTAAGTACCTGCACACTTTAGATCTCAGTGCCAAGTCTAAGTATAATCAGCTGCATCTCCTTTATGAGAAATGAAAATACAGTTTTAGTTGGGCACCAGTAGTTCACAGCTGTAATCCTACCTACTCAGAAGGCTGACATCTGAGGATCACAGTTTAAAGGCAGCCCAGGCAGTCTGTGAAACTCATAATTGCCAATTAACTACAGAAGAGAAGCTGTAGCTCAAGTATTGGAGCTCAAGCCTTGAAAAAATAAGCTAAGGAACTGTGCCCAGGTCCCAGTTCAAGCCCCCCCGTACTGTCACACATTAAAAAACAATACTAGAGTTTCAGTTCTCAAGAAACATCTGATGGGCATGTTTGGAATTAAGGCAAATTTTTGGAACTGTGGCACTGATCTTGTAAGCTGAGATAAATTTCAGTCTCTAGTATCCACAAGAAATAATAGATAGTCCTATAGCCAAATGTTTCTATCTATTTATGAATTTGGGGGCTGTGGTAAAATATTGAGATCATATAAGAGCAGAAACTGTATGCCAGGCAATCTATGTGTTCCATGTAACTGTGATTTCATCCAACCCTCAATAGTCATTCCATCTGAGCAAGCTGTAGCCACATGTCAAGCACCAAACAAGGATCTATACTTTTACCCTTCTACTCTATAACCAAATAACTTGAATATGACCTCATCTTTACTATTTTTCACAATTCATTTGTACAAATGTTATTGAGGCTATTGACCTCTCATATTTGATGTCTTTGGACTAGCTGGTCCTTGGAAATTCATCAGTCACAATGCCTTTCCTTGGCTTGGACATCATCATTACTCTTGTCCACCTCTCTCTTGTCTGTTCTAATCTTCCTCTACTATTTATCTCTAACTGTTGGTCCTCAGGGCTTAACCACTTTTGTTAGCAATGAATGGTTTCCTAAAGCACATTTCTCACTGTCATCTACTTCCTATGCAATAATAGCCCCTGGTAATGAGGGAAATCCTTTCCTTCTATAGTTCTGGTTCTCTACTGTGCATTTCTAAGTAGTGATCCGCTAGCCTATATAAACTCAGTATGACCAAATCCCCTTAACTTCAGACACTCACTTTGTTTCTGATTAGTTTTAGGCCTCCTCCCTGGGATGGTTCGTTTATACTACTAGCCTACTTCCCTATGTTAGGAATCTCAAAATCAGGCACAACTCCAGTACACTTACTCTTCAGATTCAATCCTACTGTCCAGCACTATTGACACTGCACGTGATATATCCTGAATCTCCCCCTTGCTCTATTTCAGCCACATGAATGGAATTTAATTTTCCCTTTACGCTAAAAAACAAAGGAGGACGCAACAATGCTTGATAAGAAATGTACCCATCACCTTGCTCATGTAATTGTAATCCCTCTGTACAGTATTTTCACAAAAAATTAAATAAAAATAAATAAATAAATAAAATGGATTTCAGAGAAGATGTAGTTTTTGAAACAATATCTTGCTATGTAGCCCATGCTGGCCTCAAACTCTCCATCCTCCTATCTCTTCCCCTGCCCAAGTAATGATATTAAAAGCATCTGCCACACACACAGCTTGCCATCAATTTTGAATTGGCCTTCTAATACACTTTCACAGTATTGGTGGGGTTCTATCATAAAGATTTTATCCTACACCTCCCTGTTTAAATATCTGTGGCGTCCACTATTTCATTGTCTAATGTTGGATTTCCCAGATATGTCCAATGTTGGATTTTCTAGGCTAGGAGAGAGAGGATGTCATAACTTAGGAGACAAAATTTGAAGAGCAACCAAATATAGGGAAATTCACACTCAAGTGACATATTCTGGTCCTTTGTATACTAACATACCCTTCAGAATCTCTACATATCACAGATCTCAATAAAGCTAAGGATGATGGATCTGTGGAACCATTACAGTAACATTTATTTACCATCACAAGAAGAGCCACTGATGATCATCTTCATTAATTCAACTTGACCTTCAGCCGCAGCATGATGCAAAGGGGAGACATTCTCATCCTCATCTTTGTTTGATTTCCTTAGGTTCCTCATGCATTTGTGCAATTTATACACACTCCTTTCACAATCCACCTATAGGTAGAGAAAAATATGTTACCCTAAACAAACATTTGCAAAATGTATTACTATAAAGTTACTCACTTTATAGCTTAAAAACTTTACTAGTAACTAGGTATCAGTGGCTTATGTCTGTAGCTACTCAGGAGGCTGAAATCTGAGGATCCCAGTTTGAAGCCAGCTCAGGCTGAAAAGTCTGTGAGACTCTTATGTCCAATTAACCAGCAAAAACAAAAACAAAAACAGGAGTGGAGTTGTGGCTCTGCTGGTAAAACACTAGCCTTGAACAAGAAAGCTACTGAACAACTCTCATATTCCAGTATTCAAAATTATCAAAATGCTTACAGATAGAAGGTAAAGCAAATGCATAAATGTTGATAGCATGCAAATAAGTGTTTTAGTTTTCTTATCATAACTTGTAAACATTGTCTACATTTTCTAGACACTATTAGAAGGCTCACAATTTTCAAAATCTTTTGTACAGCAGCATTTAAATATACTTTATTTGATGATTTTTATTAAAAGTTATTTCTAGCACTGTTATTTACACTTGAGAATGAAGAGGTATCAGTGAAGCTAAAAGGCAGAATTTATTCTACTGCTAATATGTATTTTAATGTGTGTGTGTGTGTGTGTGTGTGTGTGTGTGTGTGTGTGTGTGTGTGTGTATGTGTGTGTGTGTGTGGCGGGGGGGAGTCGTGGGGCTTGAACTCAGGACTTAGGCACTGTCCCTGAACTTCTTTTACTCTAGGCTAGCACTTTACCATTTAAGCCAGAGCTTCACTTCCAGTACTTTTTTTTCTAGTTTATTGGAGATAAGAGTTTCAAGGACTTTACTGCCCTGGGCTGGCTTCAAACCATGAACCTCAGATCTCAGCCTCCTGAATAGTTAGTATATGAGAAACTGGCTCCTGGTTTACTGCTAACATTTTTACATTGCTTACATATGATGATAATATTGGCCACATGCTAAATCACAGATGCCAGAAATGCCAATACATTAGGTATTCTGATGTTTGGCTACCACAGGAAAGGTAAAGTTGAATTGCATGTTGGGACGCCAAACCCAGGCAGAAGCCAAATGTTGACACATTCCTGATGTATATGGTAGCCTCCTCTGGAATCCCAGCATTTTTTTGGGGGGGGGTCCAGTCGTGGGGGCCTGAACTCTGAGCCTGGGCACTGTCTCTCAGCTCTTCAGCTTAAGGCTAGCACTCTACCACTTGAGCCACAGCGCCACTCCAGCTTTTTTTTTCTGCTTATGTGGTGCTGAGGAATCGAACTCGGGGCCTCATGCATACAAGGCAAGCACTCTACCACTGAGCCTCCTTCCTAGCCCAAGCCCAGCATTTTCAAACCTGTGCTGTGCTGGCTTGCTCTGCTTATTTGCTTGAGGTTCTTCACTTACATGAATGACATCTGATGCTTCTTCTTGTTCTACATCCATTCAGCTTCCTTCAGCTTCCCACATCCAACCTACCCCTGCTGATAGCCCAAGAGACCATCCTTCCCTTACGCTTCTCTCATATTCTCCCTGGAGTTTACTATGGACTCTTCCATACTCCACAAAATGTGGCATTACAAAGAACTAATGGTTATAGGAATTGATGTGTTCTCTCTTGTTTTAAGATTGCTAAACACTTTAATTTCTAATATGATAAATCCTTCCTAGTAGCTATAGCTCAACACAAACAAGGCATTCTTCAGGATGCTCCATATTGTTTAAGTTTAATGGGATTCTGAGAATAAGTTTGAGAAGCCTTCTAGTCCTTTCGTGATCTCTTATCTAAAAATATATTCAATATTTACTACACATTTGTACATTTAATTCCATAAGTGTAAATATCTTTCTAGAGAAATAGCAAAGGAAAGAGGAAGAAAGGAAAGTTTAAAGCTTTATAGACAGCAGGAGAAGTTACATAGTATTTTATACATTAGAAATCTCCTAGACTATTTGTTAAGTTTTAATTTTCTAGAAGCATAAACATATCAATACAAAAAAATAGGCAAAATAAGTGGAAATACATTGTATTCTACAGTACTATACAGGTTAAAATAATTTCTCAGTATATCTTCCAGAAGCCAAATAAAAGTTTCCCTAAAATTTTAATAACTATTTTCTATTTTTTAATTGACAATTAACAAATGTGTGTGTGTGTGCGCGCGTGTGTGTGTGCGTGTGTGTGTGTGTGTGTGTGTGTGTGTGTGTGTGTGTGTGTGTGCTGGTATTGGGACTTGAATTCAGGCCTGGGCAATGTCCTGAGCTTTTTCACTCAAGGCTAGCACTCTACCACTTTGAGACACAGTGCCACGTCCAGTTTTTTGCTAGTTAACTGGAGATAAGAGTCTCATGGACTTTCCTCCCCAGCCTCCTGAATAGCTAGGATTACAGCCACCAGCACGCAGCCATAATTCTCTAATCAATATTTTATTACACATACCAAAAGCAAAATGTTTTACAAGTCAGTCATTTTTCACAGAAGCCACTATAAAACATTTTCATGAAAATGCAAAAAATAATGTCTCCTAACAAAAGATTAATACATCTACTTTATATTTTGTTTGTCATTTATATATTTATATATGTTTGTCATTACTCTAATTTGTTATTTTAAAGATAGGACATTTCTTATTACTGAAAAGAAAAGCTGCCAAAGTAAAATGCTGACATATATACAGTATTTTCATGCAGTTAGAGAAGTCAAGTTGGGATAAGAATTTAATCTCAAAGACTTGAACTTTGGATTCTGCCTTTGTTATCACAAGGCAAGCAGCAACTAAGAAAGTGGTTTTCTACTGTGGCATGGTAAAGATCTGTAACTTGTCCCTGGGTACTGGTGGCTCATGTCTATAATCCTAGCAACTCAAGATGCTGAGATCTGGAGATCTAGGTTTGAGGCCAGCTCAGGCAGAAAGTTCCATGAGACTCTTATCTTCAATTAACCAACAAAAGCTGGAAATGGAGCTGAGGCCAAAGTAGTAGAATACTAGCATTGAGTAAAAAAGCTCAGGTACAGTACCCAGGACCTGAATTCAAGCTCCAGTTCCAGCACACATACATACACAAATATTTGTCAATTGTCAACAACAACAACAACAACAACAAAGAATTCTGTATAAACCACATATACCTTTAGTGGCTCCAGCATATAGGAATGACCATTGAAATATTTCTGAATTTACACGTAATCACTAGTAAATTTAATTTAAGATGAGCTTCTTACACAAATGTTACTTCTTTAATGTCTTGCTTTATCTTAGAATCAGTTAGGAAGCATTTTAGCACTTGATTTTCATGTTTTTTGAATGACAATGAAGGGATTTACCTTCTGTGCTCTCTGCACTGGAAAGGACAGTACACAGGTATTGTAAGCCCTGTGCTGTCACCCAGTTTTACACTCTTTAGGTGCAGATGCCTCCAAGTACTATGGAAGTCATAGGAACAAAACAGCATCTAACCACTGAAAAGAAACACATGAGGTGGGCTCTCAGCCTCAGGCTAGAACCTGATATGTTTTCAGGCTTTGAAGAAGTTCATTAGAGAAATGTTTGCAGGTAAGCAAGCCTAGACAAATCATATATGCCCAGTGGAAGTGGTTTCCTATTACTGGGTCACCAGGCTCTATAGGATTTTGAGCTACAGGATTAGGTTCACATCTATTAGACGGCATCACTTTTACAGAAGCTAATTCTAATTCCTTTACATTTGAAATATCGAATCCATCTGTTATATCTTACTAAAGAAGTAGTAGAGCAAAAAGAAAGGAAAACTAAGGAAACAGACTATAAAAAAGCAAAGGCTAAATGCTAAAGTATTCACTTCCTTGAAAGAGTTATGGAATAAAAATAAAAGCATCTATTTGATAGTTCTTTTGCACATTTCTCATTTTGCAAGTGCTCAGTGATTCCACAACTTGGTTAATATTTCTGAGTGTGTATGTGTGTGTGTGTTGATGAATATATGTTATATGCTTTATTTATCAAATTGGAAGTTATCAAGAAATTCCTTAGAATTAAAAACTCTCCATAGAACTGATGTGAGTCTAAGAACTGAGATTTTTTATAGAATGATCTAGAATTACTGTACTTAATAAAATAACATATTAAAAGTCCTCAGTCTATAAGCTACCATGTGACAGTTCTATTCATTGGTTTTCTGGTTTCTATTTTGTTTTCAGATAGGGCTCCTCATATCCCAGGGTGGCCTTGGACTCCCAATCAGTCCTCCTGCCTCCGTCTCCTTATTGCTGAGATTACACGTATACTCTATATTCTTGGTCCTAATATAGGACCTAAATGATCCACCCAAATGTCTCCACTTGACTTAAACAACACAACTAAATAAGACATCAAGGCTGGAGGTATGGGTCAAGTGTTAACACAGTTGAGCACAAGGTCCTGCATTCAAAACTAACAGTAGCAACAATAAAAAAACTAAATATGTGAAAGCCTGGATATTGAAACTGAGTTGCAGAAATCCTTCAGCAAGTCGTGACTGGTTTTGTTTAATTTAAACTTTTTGTCTTCTCCTAAATTAATTCCAAAGACTTTATCCTATTCATTCATGACTCAGTTCTTTAACTAAGCCAAAAGGCAATGATTATTATGTTAGTATTAAGGAGGGGGGAAATCTGGTGGTAAATCTAGATAGGCAAAGAAATTCCTCTTTGTAAGCCTGGTTTGTGGGTTTGTGTGATTTACTACACATCTCTAACTCACACATTACTCACAGTGGTGTTAAGTCATTGCAAACATTTCACAATTTGGCAATTTCTACCCCAAGTCAAGCTGTATATGCCTCATGACTGTTATGACGTTAGCAGACAGAACTACTCACAAATAACTGTAATTCTAGCCAGGAAGTTGAGACTTGGAGCATCCAGGTTCAAAGTCAGCCTGGAAAGAAATGTCTAAGAGACTCCATCTCCAGTTAGCCATCAAAGAGCTGGGCCGGACACATAGATCAAGTGGTAGGGTAATGGCCATGAGCAAGAAAGCAGAGTGATATCAAGAGGCCTTGACAAGCCTTGGAGAGAGAAAGAAAGAAAGAAAGAAAGAAAGAAAGAAAGAAAGAAAGAAAGAAAGAAAGAAAGAAAGAAAGAAAGAAAGAAAGAAAGAAAGAAAAGAAAGAAAGAAAGAAAGAAAGAAAGAAAGAAAGAAAGAAAGAAAGAAAGAAAGAAAGAAAGAAAGAAAGAAAGAAAGAAAGAAAGAAAGAAAGAAAGAAAGAAAGAAAGAAAGAAAGGAAGGAAGGGGGGAAGGAAGGAAGGAAGGAAGGAAGGAAGGAAGGAAGGAAGGAAGGAAGGAAGGAAGGAAGGGAAAGGAAAAAAGAAAGAAAGGAAGGAAGGAAGGAATAAAGAAAGAAAGAAAGAAGGGAGAGAGGGAGGGAGGGAAGGAGGGAAGGAAGGAAGGAAGCAAGAAAGAAAGAAAGAAGGGAGAGAGGGAGGGAGAGAAGGAGGGAAGGAAGGAAGGAAGAAAGGAAGGAAAGAAAGAGTGAGAAAGAAAGAAAGAGGAAGGAAGGAAGAAAGAAAAAGAGAGAGAAGAATGAAAGAAAGAAAGAAAGAAAGAAAGAGAAAGGGAGGGAGGGAGAAGGGAAAGAGAAATAAGCAAAGAAAGAAAGATGGAAGGGAGGGAGGGAAAGAAGCAAAGACAGACAGACAGCAAGGAAGAAAAGAAAGGAAGGAAGGAAGGAGCGAGAGGGAGGGAGGGAGGAAGGGAGGGAGGAGGGAACAGAGGGAGGGAGAGAGGGAGGAGGGAAAGAGAAATAAGCAAAGAAAGAAAGATAGAAGGGAGGGAGGGAAAGAAGCAAAGACAGAAAGAAAGTAGTAAAGAAAGAAAAAAGGAAGGAAGAAAATGAGAGGAAGAGAGAGAGAGAGAGAGACAGAGACAGAGACAGAGAGAAGGAGGGAGGGAGGGAGAGAATAAATGATCACAAAGGCACAAACATACCAGTAGAGTGAATGAGAAGCTTCTTCTGCACTTACAGCAAAACAAGCACCTAAGTGTCTATCAGTGTAAAGCTAGTTACATATATTATTTTACCTTTCGATAATGGAGTCTTATGAAACTGCAAACAAGAACAGGTAAATCGTAAAGTGCTGAGTTTGAAAGTGTTCCAAAACATATTTGATGAGTAAATCAGAACGCACATCTCCGACCTCACACTTACGTTAAAAATATATGAACATGTGTGCATTTGGGTAGGTGTTTTTTTCCCCGGGAAAATACATAAACTGTCAACATGGTTCCACTGTGAGTTTGCGCTGGGGTTTTTAGTTATTGACAATCTGCTGTTTCAAAAGGGATCCCTCTAAGGAGGAAACCTCATGGCCCCTCACATCCTCAGACCAGAGTAGCAGCTATCTCTGCCTTCCGTCTTCTCTGCCAAAGCCTTTGTGATGCCTCTACTTCGGATGCCTCTGTTTCCAGAGTCCTTGTTTGGAAAGCACCACATGCAGGGCGCTGTGTCTCGCCATCAGACAGGAATGCTTCTCCACTCCAATGCACCGTTCAGCTGTTTGGCTCCCAATGAACAATCTGCCAAAACCTGTCCATGCCAAACAGCATGTCCATGCCAAACTTCTGATTCTAGGCAGTTGCCTAGAGGGAAGTTATCCACCCATTAGCAAGAACAAGCTAAACCGACAAGCCAACAAACAGAAAGGACCCAAGAGGCACCCTGATTGGAAGAAGCACTTAATAAGGTACATGCACCGCACAGTGAGCACCTCAGCCCTTAGCCTCTTCACGCTCACGGACGCACGTTTTCTTATCCCGAAGCTGCACCCCAGAAAACCCGGGGCCGCCCTCCTGCCTGCCCACACGCTGGTGCCTAACAGTTGTTCTATTCGCGGGTCGCCCAAGGTACCTTAAAAGAGTTATCCATATCGTCATCCACGCCCTGGTACACAACGCCCTGCGGCTCCTTCTTCTCCGCTGGTCGCAGCATCTTTCTCAGGCTACGCTTCATCGACTCCACCTGGAAGTCGCCAGGTGCAGCTGCTCCTGCGGGGAGCACGCAGGCGCGGTCGGCGGGCGCAAGCGGCTGGGACCCGGACGCCGCGGGTCAGTGCCCCCAGCTCACCAATCAAGCCAGGTATGGAATCCCCAAAGGCCCGCAGAAAACTGCCCTAAAGCCCGGAGATCTTCTAGCAGGAGCACTCGGGTCTGTGCTACTTGTAGGGCAGCAAGCAGGCGGGGCGCAGGAGGAGGCAGAGACGCAGCCTTGGCTTGGGCTGGGACGCGCCCCTTAGGAGAACAACGCGACTGCTGGGGTTGAAGTGGATTCAGTGAATCTGTTCTATTAAAAATCACTTCAGCCCTACCACGAGGGTGGGTGGGGAGTGTAGGGGGCGAATAAGTGAGGGAGGGAGAGGGTACGCCTGGATATATGGGGCGGGGGCGGGGGAGGGCGTTGTATTATTTGATACATTTTTAAAGTAGTTGTACAAAGGGGTTTTAATTCAACATACCGAGTTCACTGCATCTTGACCAATGTCCTCCTTTCCAACATTCTACATGGGGGAAATTTTTATGATTTTGTTTTTCTAAAGAAAACTCCTGAACCTGTCTTGCCTATATCCACCTCCCTTGGAGGGTCTCTTGGATTTGAAGTGTGTGTGTGTGTGTGTGTGTGTGTGTGTGTGTGTGTGTGTGTGTGTGTGTGTGTGTGTGTCTATTGGTTTGATTTTAAGCAAAACTCAGATATTTGGAAGAAACCACCTCCTATGTTTGGGATTAAATGAAGTCCCTCCTAATCCCAGGTCCCCAGTCTTTTGGATAACAGCAATATTAGCCTGCCTTATGCTTTCATATTTAAGAATGGTTTATATTAAGAGAAAGGTTAAACATAAACCACTATTGACTTGTTCGTCACCACCTTTGTTTGAGAGACTTATCTTCCTGGGCTTGTGTTTCATTGATTCATCAACAGTCTAGGTGTAAACTGTGTGACAGGGAAGAAGTTCCTGATCAATTGAGATGTTTTCCATTTAGGTAGAGATAAGAAAACCTCGAAAACTGCTGCTTACACATGTGCCACATGGGTAGAAAGCAAGAAAACTGCTTCCCAAAGCCATCTACTGCTCAGGATGGAACTTGGCTTTAACTGTCTTTTGCTTTGGCAAACTCTGCCCTAGAGTGTGGGATTTACACCTAATTGACACCTGGGGCACCTAACACAAGAAACACAGGAAGCCAGGACCTCAATACAGCTGACAATCAACCTAGGGCACACTGAGTTGAATTTAAGAGTAAGTAGAGTGGTCATGATGATCTTGAAGAATTGTGAAAAAGTCTCCCCCAAATCTTCTGATTGAAATGGCAAGTTGCAATCATTTCCACCACTGGGGTGGAATTAGAATGAATGTATCACCAACCATCTGTCCAGTAGTATGGATTATTGCAAGATTGATGAAGGATAATATAGATGTTGGATCTCGCCACCTGCACAGTTTTCCCACAGGCATCTCTCTTCAGGACATACGGAGCAGGGATTGGCCACACACCTTGCTATGATTTATCTGAAGTAGGTAATGTGTCTGGAAAAACCAAGAAAGGAACGAATCAGAAGGATGGGTAGAGACAGGAACTTTCGTTGATCCTGCTGTTTGCCTGGCATTTTATGTACCCATGGCCCACTATTTTGTAATGGAAATACCTTCCAAGAGTATTAATGTTTCTTGCTTCTTACTATGAATTATTGTGATCAATTGCTTTTCTCTCTACACTTAGCTGAGAAGGATCACTAAAGCAAATGAGAATAAAGAGGACTCTGCGAGTGATGGTTTTGGAAACTGGGACAGAGGGTATATCACAGCAGCAAGCATTAGAGCTATGTTAGCTCTGAGACAGGGATGAGGGGTTCAGGGAACTCCAGCCATGGAGGATGCTGGGAAAAGCATCGCTGGAAGTCAATAGCCCTTCTTTGTAATATCTTTTCCAGCACACAATTTCTACACATAACCATTTCTATAAATTTGCTCCTGCGCCCATTTCTATGTGTGTTCCCCCTACATATATACAACACATACACACATATACATACAAAATATATATCCAAAGCATGTATCATTTCTACCTTGTCCCCTTCCTGCTTCAACACTAAAAAATATAGATGCATGGTGTGAGATATCTGAATTTTCCCCTGCCTTCTGCTGAAATGAACAGAGGGAGAAACATGTTTTTATGACCATTTTTATTATCTTTGTTTGGATTTGTTCATTTTAGGCATTTCTCAACAATGTTTTCCTAAGACTACCCCAACCCTGTAACTGTTTCTTATTGCTTCATTATTTCCTATCTAGCAGAAGCATCCTTTAATTGGACTATGTTTACTGAAAATAACTGGATTTTAAGTGCATAATGTAGACAGGAAAATGATGGCATCTAGCCACTTACAATTAGGATCTTGTTTCCTTTGAACTTTAATTATTGATGATAATAATTTAATAGTTTAATTATTAATAAAGCATAACATTTCATACAAGTTTATAATTTCAAAATGATAAATATTAGAGATGATATCCTTCATAGAAATTTCCAAAAAGTAATTTTTATTACCAAATTATATTTTGTTATTTGATAGGGGCTTATTCAAAAGAAGACAATAAAACTTGTACTTAAAATTTCTTGGTAAAATATAGTGACATACAAATATCATCTCAATAATTATTTTTTATCAAAAACTAAATTACTAAAACTTATCTTTATTGGGACCAATAAAGATAAGTTACCAATTAATTACAGAAATGTACATATTTTAAGCCATTAAGCTATATTGTTACTAGTACCCATAACTGAATATAAACTGGTTAGTTCACTTAAGTTTCTTCACATAACAATGTAATGAAATGGGGCCTCATATTCAGATTGAACATTTGTATTACATTTTTTCTTTAAGGACAAAATGATATGTGGATAGTTTAGTGATTTTCACAAATATTTATAATTACATAAGTATCTGGACAGTCTTTTTTAGGCTAACTCCGTCAATAAAAGAAAAATTCCTTTACCAAAGGCAGACAGCTCCCTATCCCAAAAGCAGTTCTACCATTGATCTTTCTCCATGGTACAGTTTCTGTCTCTAATTTTTGAGCCTAAAATAGGGATACAGGTTGACCCATTGTAACAATGAGATGTACAAGGCAATGTTGAGCAACAAACTTTACAATTTAGGCGGGGGCTAGGGGTGGGGTTGGAGGGAGTGTAGTTGTGGTAGTGGAGGGAAGGGATGGTAGGGAAAAAACAAAGGAGGAGGGCTAGGAAGGTGGCTCAGTGGTAGAGTACTTGCCTTGCATGCCTGAGGCCCTGGGTTCGATTCCTCAGCACCACATAAGCAAAAAGAAAAAAGCCGGAAGTGGTGCTGTGACTCAAATGGTAGAGCACTAGCCTTGAGCTGAAGAGCTTAGGGACAGCGCCCAGGCCCAGAGTTCAAGCCCCATGCCCGGACCCCCCCCCCAAAAAAACACAAAAAAATAAAACAAAGGAGGAAGCAACAATGCTCGATAGGAAATGTACTCATTACCTTGCTCATGTAACTGTAACCTTTCTGTACAGTATTTTCACAATAAAAAATCTTATAAAAATGTTTTGGGATGCATGGACTCATATTCTATGTAGTTTTTGCATCTTGCTTCTTTTGCTTAGCTTTGTGTACTAGAGCTTCAACTGTGCTATAGTATATACAGTTTATATTGTTCAGTAGTATTCCATTACTTGCATATACCTGTTGCTGTATTTATCAGTTGAAGGACATTTGGATTATTTCTGGTTTTGATATATTATAAATAATGTTATGAACATTCTTGTAAAGCTTCTTGTGTGGACATACATCTTCATTTCTCTTGGTTAGATACCTAATAGCATAATTGTCCATTTGCATAAGCATGTGGTTAGTTTTGATGAAGCTTGTTTTACAAAATGGCTATACCATACATTTGTCCTAACACTACATGAAGACTTTAGTTACTCCAGATCCTTGTTAACCTCAGTATTATCCAATTTTTATTAGTCATTCTACTGGGATACAGTGATATCTTATTGTAATTTTAATTAGCATTTCCCTAATGAATAATGATACTGTCAGTGTTGTTATTCACTTACTAACCACTTGTGTTTTCTTAATGGAACATTTATTAAATTGTTTCTTCTTTCAAGACTACTTTGTCTTCTTACAATTAAGATGTAGTGTTCTTTTTTTAAATGTCTTTTATTAGATAATTTGAAATTTTTGACGTCTTTGGCTTCTCTATTTTCTTAATGTTGTCTTTTGGAAATCAAAACATTTAAAATTTGTTACATGTCTAATTTGTGAAGATTTCTGTTGATTGTGCTTTGAATGTCATACAGTGAGAAGTTTTGCTAACATCAAGATTAGAAGGATTTCTCTTCAATGTTTTGTTTAGAAGTTTACAGATTTAGTTTTTACATAGACTCATTGTGTGGTAATTTTACATGTGGTGTGAAATAGAAGTCTAAAGCTCATTTTGTTATATATGGATATACAATGATTAGCATTTCTTTAAAAATATACTTACAATTGCCTTAGAATTATAATAAAAGATAAATATATCATTAATGTAAATGTTTGGGGTTTTTGTTCCATTGTAAGGCTTAAACTCTGGGCCTGGGCACTGTCCCTGAGCTCTTCAGTTCAAGACTAGTGCTGTACCACAGCACCACTTCCAGTTTTCTGGTCATTAATTGGAGATAAGAGTCTCATGGACATTACTGCTGGGGTTGGCTTCAAACTGCAATCCTCAGATCTCAGCCTCCTGAGCAGCGAGGATTAGCCACCAGTGCCTGGCTAAATGTTTATTTCAAATTTTACTATTCTGTTCCATTGGCTAATATGTCTACATTTAAGTCCATACCACATTGTCTTGATTTTGTAGCTTCATTTAAAGATTGAAATAAGATAATATAAGGTCTTCAAATGCATTCTTCATACTCCATATTGTTTTGGCTTGT